TATATATATATATATATATATATATATATATATTTAAATTCCATTTATAAGCACATTTTTTTTTTACTCAATTATGGTGGAACTTCACCGCACGTAATTCCAGTTATTTCACGAGAAAACGGGTTAGTCGTCGTTTCATTAACATTCTTGAGAATCCATGGAAAATTTAATTACGCGAATACCGTTCGTTACTGTACGACAACCAATTTTTTTTTCACCGGGCAGTTATTAACATATAAATAAAATTATGCCATTACGCGAGTAATTTCGAACGGTTGATCCATCATACCACGGGGAATTCTCCTTTTGGGAGGGGGGGAAAAAACTCGTTTAATAATCGACCAACATCGAAAAAACGGCTATCGATACGGAATAATGCGGTTAGAATTCTAAGCCATTGTTATGTCTGATATACACGCTCGATATACACGCGAGAATATGAATATTTTAAAGGAAGACGTTGATAAAGTGTGGGAGAATAATAATCAATTCCCAAGGAATTTCGAATTTTTATGGACGAATATTTTTTTTAAACTAATCTTCTTAAACTGCGACACAATTTACTAATCTACTAATTTTTTTAATTTAAATAATAAAAAATTTTATTATCGTGTTTTGATATTGGAAAGTTAATTATCGATTAATTATCGATATTTGAACTTTCATTTTCTTTCAAGTTCGTTCTTTATATCTTCGATAATTAAATTGTTTCGCGTATACACGATATTTGTTCGATTTCTTTGAAAATTATAAAGAATAAAACGTAATGACATATATAGGAATTGATTAGCAATGATATTTTTCTTTACGAAAATCGTTCGTTAAGAAAAATTGTAATGGTGTTTTTTCATCAAATAAAATGTTTTATATTACGAAAAATTCGATATTCGAGCGATATGTACTCTTTACTTTATCTTATCTGTTCAATCGAAGTGATTGATACGAATCAATCAACTATCTTTACACGAATATATAGCTGACGTATCTATATGATGGATTATGTTATGTTTTTACATAATAAGATAATTTTATATTTCTTTGATCCATCGAAATGCAACCTCGCTTGATTCGATAAAATCTCGGATAGATATTATTCGATTTTTATCGCAATTTAATTTATTTATTTATTTTTTTCTTTCTTCCCGTTTTTTCACCCGTTATCTTGTTGTTGTTATTATTATTATTATTCCTTCAAATATTCTTCTAATCTATACAAATTTAGGATGTAAAAATATAAATTTATGATTATAGTCTTCAAATGGATAATTTAAAAATAAACGGACAATCAGAAGAGGAAATAATTACGAAATGGAAATACGACGAAAGCTGCGATAATTCGTCCGCGAAATCACGAATTCGTTTTGAAGCGAAGGAAAGCATAATCAACGCGAGAATTAATTTGCTGTGATTGTGATATGAAATAAAAGGTTTCATTCTAAATTGCTGCGCTACGTTGTTCCGCAATTGGAGCGTGCACGGGTAAAATAACTTTACTCGGCGTCGTTGACTTTTGTGAAATGTTCGCAATCCCCTCTCTTATCGTTCTTCCAAACTTAAATTGGTTTTTTTTTTCTTTCTTTCTTTCCTGAACATTCGACACTATTTCATGATATTTCGTAATATTATTTCACAAAATTTTTTTTATCCAATTCATCGCCGCGCGAATTCGCTTCAAAATGTACAGATAAAATAATTTCAGCCATCGCTTCTTCTGAAATATTCTCCGTTTCGTGTATGTTTTTAAAAACGTATATATATTTTTCTATGAATTCGAAAGGATGACTTTGATAGATGCGTTATATTCCGTATTGTTTGCATCGGACGTGTGTATAACCGGAAGTGTTTCCACGGAAGCCTTGTTTGGCTTCGTATCGAGAATGATCGCTTCGATATTATAGCTAATAAGCAACCGCAATTATTTTTTGTCGAATCTTGCGAAAACGTATTCGCGTAGAAATATTACAACGTCACGCAGTAATGAAATTCGAGAATTGCTTATATAATTATATACAAAATTTTTACTTTGTTAATTTTCTTAATTTTTGAAAGAAATTTTACCATAAATCGAAGGGAAATAAATTTAATTTTAATATTAGATGTTGGGATCAAATCATGTCTAATTAGACCGTATGAAAAAAATGATTAACCGAAACGAAGATTTACGTAACATATCAGCACACGTTTGTCGTTGTAATTCTAATAATATCTGAAATACAATCGTGGTCACGTAAATGTTTAATAATATGTATATATATATATATATCTACATATCTCAGAGAAATTTTAATTTTATTTACGCGATATAAATATTCGTCTCATCGATGAATGACTGAGCGTAAAGTTATAACGATGATTATCATTTTATTATTTCGATGAATAATAAACTTGACTCGATTTATCAAGAAATAAGATTTTATCGAATATTTTTTCGAATGTTTATACGAATATGATACCACGATTTGTATCGAAATCTAAATATGGTTGAGCAACAAGCCGAGAAGGAGGAAAAGCACAGACGAGTGGATCGACTTCCCGTCATCCTCAATCGTCTTTTATCACCTTCCGCCGTTCGATTGTTCCATTTCTGATCGATGATGCTCATCGAAGAATCTTCGTGACGTCGTTTCCGGTAGTGATACCTCGAGACGTTTCTCTTCGGCAGACCAAGTCCGCGTGTGACTTTCGCTATCATGATTTTCGCATGGTCGATCACCTCCGAGCATCGGCTGGACGATCGTTAAATCATCACAAGCTAAATGATATTAACACACCGGGCAAAATTCACGAACGATTGACGAACAAATCAATGCACAAATGATTCACAAGCCATATGCTGAAAATCATTTCCCGATGCTTCTATTTTGCGAACGATTTTAGCAGGCCTGACACTTCAATCATCTCTGTTCCTCGTACGCGGATGGACAAGAAGAAAACTGTTCCTGAAAAGAAAAAAAATTTCTCATCTATGATCGTAAAGTGTAAAACGGGTCTCGATGTCTACGAGGCGTCCCACGTCTTCTTCGAATTGAGATGATTGGGTTCATTGAATGTAGGTTCGTTGTTGATGGTCTTTGATGATAGGGAGGTAAATCTCTTGGAGTATTAATCTTTTATTTTAGATGGTCAACAACTTTTTTATTAGGTATATATATATATATATATATATATATATATCTTTTAATAATATCTTTAAGTCCTTTGAATTATTATCTTTCAAGTTATTTTACTAGTTGTTTCGTATGTGAATCGATGAATTGGAATCGATGAATTTCGATGGTTGTTTCATCTCTTTTTTTTTTTTTTTTATATTGAAATGAGATTAATCCGGTTTTTCTTTTTCCAGAAACATCCAGGATATCATCCAGAGGGAAAGGATCGGTGTACAGCAAAGGCGGCGGTAGTAGGACGTTGTCCAAGCGATTTCTAAACGGCAACATCATCACTTACGACCGGTCTAATCGTTCGTTACGAGCCACCTGTGAGTTAACCACACCAACCTGGTACCCAGGCTTTCTTAGGGGCACAAGCAACGGACAGGCAGCGTGTATGATCATTGAAGACTATCCCCCTCTGCCCACCAAACCGAGGCAATATTTGCATCAAGATACTACCCAACGATTTCTGAATCATCTAGTCCTGCCTAAGCACAGGACCTCAAAATTTTCCAGGTTGACATCAAATTGTCCAATGGAATATATTTTTTATCCTGTTTATATAGAAATATATATATATATTACACTTTACATTTAGATTAGAAAATTTTGTATTTAAGAATAAAGAAAAAAAGGAAAAGATGGATTAAATATATATTTTAATTTTTAGTAATAGGCATCGGAAGCTACAGCCGTTCAGAGAAACGTGACTGGTGTCAACGGATAGTGCGGCATACGTTACCGCAGACAACGAAAATCACCCTGACTCGACACGTAACGAGCTACCATCGGGTAGCCATTGCCTGGCAACGTCGCTGCACAGCAATCAAACTGCCGCTGGGAAACGTGGAAAGTAGATCCAGAAGGACGAGGACGAAGACGTTACCTACTTGAACGATAGAAAGATAGGGGCCAATAGAATTCAGAGAGAACGAGAGTGATCGACCAGAAAAAGCTTGGTAGCTTTCGACAATTCGACGCTTGCATCACCATTTGCCAACAACTCGTTTTCACAACGACGTCTCGTCAGAAATTGCTATTGTCGCTTGGAGGGGATATTAATTTAGCAAGAAGCAAAAAGTGGAAATATCAGTCACCATGGGGAGTGTCAACGTAAATCGTAATGTCAGCGATGCGTTTTATCGCTATAAAATGCCACGGATTCAAGCCAAAGTAGAAGGCAAGGGAAATGGTATCAAAACTGTGATCGTGAATATGGTTGATGTCGCGAAAGCGATTGGAAGACCTGCCACCTATCCTACTAAGTACTTTGGTTGCGAGCTCGGAGCACAAACTCAATTTGATTTCAAAAATGAAAGATTTATAGTAAATGGTTCGCACGATGCTACAAAATTGCAAGATCTTTTGGATGGATTCATTCGCAAATATGTATTATGCCCAGCTTGCGATAATCCTGAGACCGAATTGATGGTCAGTTCGAAAAAAGGGACTATTTCACAGGGATGCAAAGCATGTGGCTATCACGGACTACTGGAAAGTAATCATAAATTGAACACTTACATTCTAAAGAACCCACCGAGCTTGAATCCTGCTGTTCAAGGTAGTTCTTTAACTGAAGGTAAACGTGGGAAACGTTCAAAACGTGCGAATGGTGAAACAACTACCACTACAACCACTGCTACTGCTAATGGCGATCGATCTGGTTCTCCGGAAAACGATACCAATACCACCGATATCGTAGTCGAGGCTCCTGAAAAAATGGCGGACGAGAACGGAGATGATGATAATTGGGCAGTTGACGTGTCAGAGGAGGCAGTCAGAGCTCGTCTACAAGACTTGACAGACGGGGCAAAAGGAATGACCATCAGCGATGATCTTGACAAGACTGAAAAAGAGAGGATGGACATGTTTTATAAGTTAGTTAAATGTCGTCGCGACGCTGGGCAATTGGATAATCATAAAGAGCTGATCACAGAGGCCGAACGTCTGGAAATCAAGACAAAAGCGCCATTGATTCTGGCCGAACTACTCTTCGATCAAAATATTGCTGCTCAAGCTAAAAAGTATCGAGTACTTCTCCTTCGTTTTACCCACGATGATATTAAGGCGCAGAAATATTTAATTAGAGGAATTGAACAAGTAATAGCGCTGCATAAAGATGCTTTGATGCCGAAAGTACCTGGCATTTTAAAGGTACAAAACAAATTATTGATATATTCATTATTATTCGTTATTATTATATTTTTAAATGAAAAATTAAATTATATATTATAAATTATATTAATTAATAATTCTTATTGTTCTAGCTCTTTTACGATGCTGATATTTTGGAAGAAAAAGCATTATTCGAATGGTCAAACAAAGTGACTAAAAAATACGTATCAAAAGATTTATCCCAAGAAATTCACGATAAAGCTGCACCATTTTTAACTTGGTTACAAGAAGCAGAAGAAGAGGATTCTGAACCAGAAGAAGAAGACGATGATTTAGAGGTAAGTGTTTGCTTTTTAATTATACTTTGATATTTTCCATAATCTCAAATTATAATAATTAATTTCTTTCTTTATTTACTTTTTATTATAATAGATTGAATACGACGATAGAGCCAAACAATCACTAAAACCACAAGAGTCACCCCCTATGCAGAAGCCTGCTATAGTCAATGAAGACTCGGATGACGAAGATGATTTTGATATTGATGCCATTTAAAAAGATGCTCAGTAGTCGGACATAAAAAATAGAAGAAGAAGAATAGAAAAAATATGTCCGATAAATGATGACGAACGATTATTTCTCACACGATACAAAGAGTCGCAATGCAATGTATTATAATATAGCATTTTGTTATTTTAGGCCAAGAAGTGATTATGAATGCCATTATATATATATGAGAAATTTTAACTGTTCCCAAGTTAGCAATATTTATCTGTACCGTAACACTTTTAATTGTTTTTAATAAGGCGATTACGAATTACCTATACATTATTCCTAATTAATTATTGAGAGATTTAAAAAAAAAACAGATGCTTCTATACATTGATATGCATCTATTTTAGAAGAAATAAAATATTGATAGTTCTCTGCCGTTATTGGGAAGTTGGCCTGCTAAAAGCGTTCTCTATTGTATCTATTTACTATTCAAATAATAATTATTCAAATAAATATGGTTTACCGCAATATATCGTTTTTTTTATTTATTTCTAAAGTATTTTCATGATTTATTTATTTTCTGAATTATGAATATATAAACAATGATTAAAAAATAGATATTATAAATAATAGATTTTGAATATTTAATTTTTTTTCTTTTGGTATAATTCATCAATGATTTATATAAAAATATTGCGCATATTATGAATTAGAATTTCAATTATAAATATTTTTAAATAAATGTTATAACATTATGATTATTTAATACTAATAAATAAATTATTATATAGATATTATTCATAATCTACAGATATAACAAAATTCTTAACGATAAAAAACTACGAATGTTTTAATTATTGAAAACATAAATTTAAAATATTTGATAGAAGAAAAAAATTGAAAATACATTCAATTAATATTCCGTGTCTTGCGTATCTGTGATCATGCACCAATAACTATAGAATTTATTTAAGCATAGCAAATAGTGAGAAAGAATAAAGATAAGATAAAAATTGTAGAATCAACGCCATTTTTAATGTGCCGCAAATGAAACACAAAAAATAAAGAGAGAGAGATGAGAGAAAATAAAAATGAACCATAAGCGTCATCTCTTGAGTGTGAAAGACATCTTTTCAAAGAATCTTTTCTAAAAGCACTCGAGAGATGGCACACAGAGATTTTCCAATTTTTACGTTATTTTTATTCTTCTATTATTTGCTATTCTTTCCATTATTTATACTTTCCATTATATATGCTATTCTATCTATTCTATCTATCTTATTAATGACTATTAATTATTATTGGAAATGATGCTAATTTCATAATTTTTAATTTTCTATCTTTATTTTATATTTTTATTTTATATTTTTCTAGTATTTCTTACCTTTATCTATATTTGCTTTGTACATAATATATTTAATTAGAGATATAGAATACAAATTGAATATATTTCTAACGTTTTTTATCATAATATATCTGAATCTTTAAAATAAAAGATATATTATATTTTTAACTACACAAAAGGATGATTTCACGAAACATATTTATAAAGATATTATTATAAACATATTAAATATATTTTTAAATTGTTTTAATTTATAAAAATAAAAAATTCTGTATAAAATGCATTATTTTATATACATTTATAATATAAAATGATATAAAATATTTTTTTTACTTATTTTGTAATTTTTATTGAAATTTAATTTCAATTTCAGTTATTTATTACTAATTTGATTTAATTTTTAATATTTTTAAATATTTACTAAGAATATATTGTGATCTTATTTTAAGCAGAATTGATACATTGAGAATAACATTAAAATAATAAAAAAATCCTAATATTTTCATGATGTCGATCAAAAAAATATATTGAATGTTACATTTATTTTGTGTCTCATTTGTGATAGTATATTTAATTATTTTGTTATATTGATAGTTTATATTATATTATATTTTAAAACACGATATATTTCATAGAAATCAGCCTAAGTTTTCGAAAATTCCAATGATTGGCGCTGCAATCACTTAGAGTCGCTTCAGTCGCGCTTTTACAATCGACTGAAGGTTGACTTACATTCTGGAAATATTGTCGTCAATTTATTCATTTTAACGAACGTATTTTTTATTCGTACGTAATTTAACGGAAATCTTTAATATTATAAGAGTGTAAATTACACTCTATACTTGTTTATTCGGTATCCGAATCGTGGAATATGTGGTTATCATACTTTTATTAACTTGCACGGTTCACGCCATCTTATTCTGTCATCAAACGTGCAGAAATAAAATTTAGTGTCTCTTTTTTCGTGTTTCTCCTAATCGGTGAAAACAATTTTTAAACAAAACTTCGATCAATAATCTTTCGCATCGCGAATATTATTTCACAGTGAATTTGTGGCTGAGACCGGTGAGTGAAAATCGTTTTTTTCAACGTTTGATTCAACATTATCTTTGCTATCGAATCATTATATACTTGTCGTATGAATTATAAAATATTGTACAAGCTAAGCTTGTAAAAATGTATATGTTTATTGTAAAAAAATTCTCTTAAAGGTTCGTTTTCAACGTATATATCGAAATATTCTTAAAGAAGTGGGATGATACACTGAAAAGACGAGAATTCCTGCGTGGACCGTTCACATAGGTAAGTTCTCGATTGTCGTGACTTTTCAAACATCTTTTTCTTCGTGCTTATACAAATGGAGAGTAATTGGTCCGTTCAGTTTTAAATTGCCACACCTTCGATACGTGATTATAGCCGGAAGTAAATCATTTTAATTTCCGTAAGATTCTGCGAAACCATGACAGAAAATCAGTGACCATGACGATGATTAGAATGATAATTACCTCTATTCTAATACATTTAGAAAGGAGCGCGTTTCATTAAATTTTCACTAATTTGCTAAAAAAATTCTATCTATTAAGAAAAATTTCATGATGTTAATATTCTATTATGTATATTGTTATGCATATTTTAGTATAGTATAAATACATATATGCAGATAAGCAATACTAAACAATTTCTCAAATAAATGGAAATAAGATTATAAAAATAAAATATTAATTTTTCTAATTAAATAATTTTTATTTGTAAATATCTTTTTGTCTTATAATTATTTTTAAGTATATATTCTTTAAAAATTTTAAAAAATAATGAATGGATATTCAATTATTATGAATCTCAAATTCCTAACCTCTAAAAAATTACAACGATAATTAAATTATTTATTCAAATATTTTAAGAATTTATATAACGTATTCTTAACTAAGTGTTCTATAAATTGTCATCACAATTCATTCTATATGCAAACTTGAAACGAATATGCAATTGTTACATGATATGAATTTTAATCAATGATTTAGCCGTTACTCTCTACTAATATGGATTTTCAATTGTTTCACGTATTCAGAACCATTTGCGATTGAAAAGTTTATTACATTTATTCATACTATCATTGACCTTTTTCTGTCATACTTTCGAAAATTCCATCCAAAATTTTATTCGTTGAGTTTTCTTTGTTTAATTTACAATTTTATATAAAATAGCAAATATATCATAAAAATAGATTTTGTTGTTAATGTTATAAAGTTTGTGTTTTATATTTTTAAAAATTATTACTATGTTTTTATTTTTTAAAGATACATTTTATGATATAAGATGATATAATATATGATTAAACTTATGACATATATATTGTTTATTTTGTTTTATGTCAAATACTCATGCACGTGGTTTTCTCAATGTTATCGATTTATATACGTCATAAATACATAAGATATTATTTACGAAGATTATATAATCAATTGTGATATTATTACTTTCGTAAATATTTTTTTATTTTATTATATATAATATATTTTTATATATTTATTATATCTTTATTCACGTAGATGAAGATTTTATAAAAAAAAATTTTTAATAATGCGCATAATTAAAAAAAATTCGTTTCGATAGAACGAAGAAGATTTTGGAAATATTTAATACTCTAATATATTCTTTATAGTCCAATTAAATTTGTGAAAGCAATGTTGTGTTAAATAGACATAGTTGCATGTAGTAAACTTTTCTACGAATGCGTGCACATGGTACAGCACTTGTAATGTTCTGTCGTCATGCTGTGAGTCATCGGTTATCGTCTGTCTTTGTTCTCCTTGAAGCGAAAAAGATAGCGAAAACTAGCACTCTATGTACTTATATTCTTTACCGATCTGGGATAACTTTTAAAACGTACACGATTTTAGCGATAATTAATTTAAGAATAACTATCATCATTTTTTTAAATCAGCATATGTTTATATGCTGTAAATTAATATCTCATTAATTATGTTTGTTTTTCGGCTTATTTTAAAATTATTAATTTAAAAAAAAAGTTATAAAGAGAGAAATAAGAAAGATTTAATTTAAATTTAAATTCAAATTAATTCTGTTTTTAGAATTTATATAATATGCATATTTTATTTTGTAAAGAATTCATGTGGAAATTATAAAAGATACGCGTCTTCTTAAAGTGTTAAGTGTCATACACGCGTGACACCCTTCTCTTAGGAGCTTCATTCATCGTACCCTTACGCACCCTCCGGTTATTCCTACTGACCGACTGACGTTTATTTGCATAGTATGAGACCGTAACGACACTAAGTATGAAGCTTTTCTTAATGTAGTAACGCATCATTTATTTTCTCGTGTATATTTCGTATAGACATACCGGTATCCTTGCATGTATTTTGTGCAACTATAGGAACACCCATGAAATCGAAGCGCATGCGCAATCTTTCCACCCTCTTCCGCCCCCGTTGTGTCGGTCTTTTGTGCAAAGGGTGCGAAGCCAAACGTTAGTCCTCAGTAAAGAATTAAACGCGATTCCGCGAGGTGCCCCCCTTTAGAAATTACATTGCGGGACACTGTAGTGTATATATATGTATATTGTACAGATTCTATTTTTGTACTATTAAAAACGGAATAAATGACTTTTTTACGACAAATTCGATTGACTGAAAGTGACAATACGGTCGCGACTGTTCGCGAAGAAACGAAAAACAGATCGATATAGTAGAAAGTTAAATTTTTTTTGTACACGGATTAGGTAGGTTCAACAGAATCCAACATTACCGATGGGTAGAACAGATATGTCAAAAACGCTGAACGCTTATAGAATGTGAGTAGTTCTCCTACTTACAAATTTTTATACAATTCATTTTGATCATTATCTATTTCTTCAATTTTCTTTTTTTTAACATTATTCGATTAAATATTCCTACGTTGCTACGTTTTTACGTAAACATACCAAGCTCTAATTGCTATATACTTTCATTAGAAACTTCATATATAATTTTTTTCTTTTTATTTTTTTTTTTTTTTTTTTTTAATTTTTCCATTAATATAATTGGATATATGGCATCGAAAAAAATTTTGGTTAGATTTACAAATTAATGAAAACAATTTCTTTCGTAAATGAGATATATAATTAGATGTCGGAATATATTGATGAAGGAAAAAACTGATATGAAAAATTTTACTATATGTGATTCTTTTCGTTATTTATTAGTACAATATTCACTTTCACGCGATAATAATATTCTATATTAATGTTAATTTTAATAAGAAATCAATCCAATTTGATCTGAAACTTTCTTATTTTTCTTGTCATTATTCTTCATTGTCTGTATCAAAAATTTAATTTATAAAGGTGTTGGTTTCTTCTTGCGTGTTTACTATCCTGTTAAGTAATAACTTTTGGAAAAATCAGTTCTGGTAATTAATATCAAAGATGAAAGTATAAAATCTTGCTCAAATCTGTTTGTTAAAACTATGCAGTATTTCAATATTGTAAGGTCAAGGCTTGTTTAGAAAGAAGATTATACGAGGTCAAGGTTTACAGGTGTAGAACTTTGAAATCTTGACCTGGTACGTTCCTGTATCTTTTCATGTATCTATACTTCCGGTCGTTTTTATCGATTGCGCACGGCGTCGGGAATTTTTGCTCTTTTCTCTCGAAATTTTACTATCTTCTTCTATATACCTATATACGTTCTGTCGCATAAAAGAATACGCCATGGTGTTTGCGCTTGCGCAGTATTACTGAGCGATTGATTTCGCTTGGGTTTTAACGCGGTCGTGACATGGGGTAAGTTTTCCATTAAATAAGTTTGTCTCGAATGATTTTTGTGTTTCGTGTCGTTAGTTGATCCTTCTTACGAGCAAAGTTAATCATCTTTGCGACACGTAACAGTTTTACTAGCTCTTCTGTCTTGGAAATTGACTTTTATTTGGTGCGTCGTGTCGCATACAAAAAGCGCCGCTGCAATTGCGCCTGCGCATATATACTAAACCATTGATTTCTGTGGATTTAACGTGGCCCTGACATGGGGTAAGTTTTTATTCGAATTAATTTTATGATAATTGGTATTGGAATATTCCAAAAGCTTGTAGATAGTTATATTCGACGATTGGATCACCAAGATTATATATTTATATAAAAACAAAATTCATTCTAATTGGTTTAGGTTCGAAAATGTTCTTCTTACGTACGAATGCCGGATACGTTCTGCTTGCTTCGACTGAAATACTTCGCGATGCCTATTTTTGATTGCAGTTAATTATTGGCGCGTAAAGCAAGTCGTTCTAAATACCGCTTACCTCTGTTTTACCTTTTTCCTTATGCTTTCTGCTTAGTTACGACTACAGAAATCTGCACTACAGAAATGTAGCCTTATTATCATTACTTATTATCATTGTGAGAATTATATTATAATTAATAGTTAATATAAATTATTATAAAAATTTTACATTCAATTTTATATCTTTTGATTAAAAGACAATACGTTAATATAAATTGAATTATTATTTAAAATAAGAAAACATTATTATGATGTTTTTATATGAATCGAATTTCTATTATAATTGTTTTTTTCTTAATTTTTAGCAAAAAAATAGAAAATATTGGTAGAATGACGGCCATGACGCAGGAAGAAATTATGGCTGGTGCCAGAATTGTGGCCCAGGGTCTGGAAGCTCTCCGTGTAGAACATGGAGGACTTCTTCAGGCTTTGCAGACCCAGGATGCGCCAGTCGCAAGAGACAAAGCTAGTTTATTATCAAAGAATATTGAGATGATAGAATTAGGCCTTGGAGAGGCACAAGTTATGATGGCTCTTGCAAATCACTTACAAATGGTAGAGGCTGAGAAACAAAAGCTTAGAACACAAGTAAGAAGGTTGTGCCAAGAAAATGCCTGGTTAAGAGATGAATTGGCTGGTACACAACAAAAATTGCAAGCCAGTGAACAAGCAGTAAGTAATCAAATTACATAAAATTTATCATAATAGAATTTATCATAAAGAAATAATTTGAGATATTGAAGTATTTATCACTTCACTAGCTAGTCCAGTTGGAAGAACAAAAGAAACATTTAGATTTTATGGAAAGCATGAAGCAGTACGATCCTGATCCTTCCGCGGATGATGAGAATGCTAAAGACAGACCGCCAGATGATCCTGTGGTTGATCTATTCCCCGATGATGATGCGGACGACCGAAATAGTAAGTGTACGTTCACTTTCTTTCTTTATTAACAAGCATCTTTTATGGATGCTTGAATTTTTTCTTAAGTCTGTGTGATATAATAAAAGAGATTTTACTAAAACTGTTTTCTTTCTCTCTAGATTTAAATATATTTCAACCAAAAAATTCTGATAAAATTTATGATAAAAATTTATGATAAATTTCAAGACATTATTATTGAAGAATACTTTAGTAAAATTTCCTATTCACACAGGCTTAAACTACCGATAAGGGCCACTTTTTTCTATGTTCGCCATTATTATTGCAGCAATATCACCGACACCGCCTTCACAATTTGCACAACAAGTGAATGCTGGATACGAGATACCTGCACGTTTGCGTACGCTGCACAATTTGGTTATACAGTACGCGAGCCAAGGCCGCTATGAAGTAGCTGTTCCCTTATGCAAGCAAGCATTGGAAGATTTGGAAAAAACTTCTGGTCACGATCATCCTGATGTTGCCACAATGTTGAACATTCTTGCTTTAGTATATAGAGATCAAAATAAATATAAAGAAGCGGCGAATTTGTTGAACGATGCCTTGGCTATTCGTGAAAAGACGCTTGGTGAAAATCACCCTGCAGTCGCTGCTACGTTGAATAATTTGGCTGTTTTATATGGAAAACGGGGCAAATATAAGGAGGCTGAGCCGTTGTGCAAACGTGCTCTCGATATTCGAGAAAAGGTTCTCGGTCGTGATCATCCTGATGTCGCGAAGCAATTGAACAATCTTGCGTTGCTGTGTCAGAATCAAGGTAAATACGAAGAGGTAGAACGCTATTACTTGCGAGCGCTAGAAATTTATGAAGGTAAATTGGGACCGGATGATCCTAATGTTGCAAAGACGAAAAATAATCTGGCATCGTGTTACTTGAAGCAAGGAAAATACAAGGATGCTGAAGTTTTGTATAAACAAGTATTGACTAGAGCACACGAAAAAGAATTTGGTGCTATTGCCGGCGATAATAAACCAATTTGGCAGGTAAGAATGCTTTCAATTTTAAAAAAATGATATGCAAGATATAAATATTTTTGGTAATATTTGATATGAAAAATTTCTTCATGTTTCAGGTTGCGGAAGAAAGAGAAGAAAATAAGCATAGAAATAAAGAGAATACTCCATATGGAGAATACGGAGGCTGGCATAAAGCTGCTAAAGTGGATTCTCCTACAGTTACAACTACCTTAAAAAATCTTGGTGCATTATATCGAAGACAAGGAAAATACGAGGCTGCAGAAACATTAGAAGATTGTGCTCTTAGGTCACGAAAAGAGGTAAGTTCAATAATTATTCATCGTTGAACCTATTTGATATAAATATTCTCTTTTACTGTATAGGTAATAGTATAAATAGCACAGTAAAGGAAATTGAAAAAATGTAGAATGTAAGAAAAAATTTTTAAGATATAAACACCAATTAATTGAATATGTTGCACTCTCTGAAATTATTAAATTATTAAATGGAAATCTCTATCGTACAAATTATTTTAATCAAGGAGATTATAAGCATTTGTTACTTAAATTGTTTCATCTAATTTGAAGCAGACATTGGAGTTCGTGAAGCAAGGAAAAGTTGCGCAGCTTTTAGGAGAAGAGAAAGGATCGACGAGACGCGGCTCGCGATCCAGTTTAGCTAATAGCGAACACGAGCAACATGACGAGGTAAGTTGTGTCGGATATAAAAAAAAAATATTTTAGTTGCACTGCATGTTGTAGCACACGATTAGTCCGTCTACTATCCTTTTCTTCTTTCTTTTTGTTCTTTTTTCGTTATCCGGCCCGTTATGATGAATTGGCGACACAACACACAATCACAGGGCTCGCTGCCGCTGGTACAAAGGGCGCTACATGAAGGACAGTCTGGCCACAACGACGCTAGTCCTAACAAACCCGGTTTTAAAAACAAGATCTTTCAAGCTTTCGGGATTCATTCTTCCACGTAGGATATTCTTCGTTTGTAGTATTGCCTGTTCGATTAATGCCCGGTCGCACGATAATTTTAAAAAATGCGTAAAATTGTTTGGGAGAAGTTACAGTTTAGGTATTTGTTCTTAAATTCCACGATGGTATGATCAAAATACGTTGAGGAATTCGCGATCTTTTATAAACTGTCTTGAATGATTCTTCTTAAGCATTTATAGGAATTTATAATTTTTTGAACGTAGGTAACACAGACCTTCGGCAAATTTTTTGGGCATTTGATATACTATTTTTTCTCAGCCAGATATCCCTGATTAACAATGATGAAAACACATCATAATAATTGCACATTCTATTATTACATTTATTGATATATAAGGATTTAGATAACCGTTTGTTGCTATTTCCATTTATCTTTTTTTTTTTTTTTTTTTTTTTTTAGGAAAATATCGCGTAGAAAAAGTAGACAATCTTTTTCAAATTATTTCCACTTAAACTGTGATAATGGTACCCTTTCATTAATTTCTCTCTGTCTTTTTTTCGCCGAATTCTTGTTTTTATAAAATTTCGAGGAAACTTCGATATTCGTATTCCGAATTTTTTAAAAAAGCGAATTAATTCAAATTTGATGGATAGGTGCTTTTTATAAAGCATTTGTTTTATTATCACATTGCATTATTTATCTATTATTAATTGTTCGAAATTTTTCTACGCTTGTATTATACACAATCGTATAGAAAGCTATTAGAATAAAATAACAAGCTTCCAGAGACAATTATTTTCATAATGAAATTATACGAATCGATCGTTTCACGTGTTATTCTTGGCAGAAGTAGAATAATAATAAAAGTAACATTTTTATACGCTCGAGCTATTTTTCCCGTAAGCCAGAACACCGTGAAACCACGCACACAAATTATATGTAGTGAATTTTAGCAGCGGCTTTTGCTTAACTATATAGTTCAGTATAGATTTGCAAAGGTAACAATTTCATAATGATAAATGTGCAGAGAAGATTAATAATTAATCTAACAATTTACAGTTTGACACACGAAGAATTATTTTCTGTAATAGGTTGTTTTTATGATTTGTTTTACTATATCTTCGCATCTTAAATGACTCGAGCCATTAATTTACATTCATTCTTTCATTTTACATAATTAACTCGAGTTTGATTTTATCTCCTTTCTCCTTTTTTTTTTTTTTTTTTTTTTTTTTTAAGAAAGCAAAACATTTCATCTGGATTAGGATTACATTTGATTATATCCTATCTTATTTTTAAACTTGATATGAGGTGTCTCGAAATTTTTCGTAAAAATGTTTTGTACCATTTTTCCGAAGAGTATTATGTATTTGTTACGAGTACAATTTCGTGCAATTTGTTACGTATACATACACGTATGTTCTGAACGATCCCCATTTGTTTCAACAAACTAATATATTTTAAAAGATTAGATCTCAAGAACATGCGAAAAGAAACAGGAGACTTCATTCATTCGGGCCACCTTGTATCCTATTTTTTTCTTCATCTTATTAACTGCGTTTTAGATTTCCAATCTAGATAGAAATAAAGATAAATAAGTAAAGAAAATATTCTATTCGATAACGATATTATTATTATTCGATTATATGGTACAATGTTTCTAAATTTGATGATCAATTATTATGAAAGCTGGATTATTCAATATAAGTAGTGCCTTGAGATTTTAATCAACGAACGAATAAATTATTTTTTAACTGAACATGATCTCCTGGTTGTTACTCGATTCATCGATATTACCGTATACCATGGGATTTCCTTGTCATACATTACGTGTCTGTGTTCTTTTCTGTTATTTGTTGTATAACCAAATAATGCATAGAAATCTTTGTATCGAGAATGCGTATATAACAGGTTTGCATTATTAATTTTCCTCGCACGCCATTTGTGTTCTTAACCACCATTGTTACCATTCGTTTTTTTCGATATCTGCGTTGTCGTTTTGTTTCGCTTTGATTTGAGTACTCTGCGGGCCGGGACTTAGATAACAGGATGTCACTCTGGAGTACGATTTCGTCTGGACAGCAAAATACCGGGACGAAACTAGACCGGGTCTTTGTAGAAGGTGCGTATTCGTAGATTTTGTAGAACAATTTTTAATTCCCTCTCTCCCTCCCTCCCCCCCCCTACTTTTTTTTAAATTTATTTTTCACTCTTAATGTTTTGTGTCGATGCACTGACAAGTTCATTATCATTATTAATTTCTTTTTGTACCATTATCAATCACACATGTATATCATCGTTCAACTCACTACCCTTTTTCTTTGTTTCTTAATTATTACCATATATATGACTTTTTTTTTTTTTTTAGATAACGATTGAGAATCATTGTTCCGTGTTGAGAAGATTAATTACTGCTCCTATTATGTAAAACCTGTAGATAGCATGGGAAGTTGTAACATTTGGCTTGTGTATATACTTGGAATCACCCTTTGTGCGAGCAGTAATTAATTATAATGTGAAAAAGAAATATTATTTTTGATATTTAATATCGAGTTTTGCTTGCCATAACACACATAAATTAATATCATTCTTTTTTTTTCAGCTTTTGAAATATTTTTATCAGAATTTCATAAAGATCTTGTGTCTTTAATAGGAAATTTAGTTTATTCTTTGAATTATTACATATCATAAATATTATTTTTATAATCAGTTTATCTTATTATTTCAATTACAATTTAAATTTCATTGTCAGATTTTCATTATCATTCAGAAAAAAATAAATTGCATTGAAGGCACGAGATTCTTGAGATTTTCTTTTTTTCAAATCACTCTAGAAAAGCTTTATTCTCTTATGTTTCAGGACCGGAAGTATTATGTTCGTGCGCAGTAAGGGATACTACGTAAGAGAGCTATACGCGAAACGATACCGGCAGGATAACACAAGGGCTCTGCATTGTTTAGTTGAAACATTGTTCGATGTCCATTTTATCCGAATCGTTTTACGTATAACAGCACATTCCAGCTGCTTTTCTCGATTAATAAGATGCATCGTAAAAGAAGTATTTCATGTTGCTGACGTTTTCAATACGGGACGATTTAAGACATGCTAGCGACTGACTGTTTTTGAAATAGCAAGGAAAAGAAACACAGAATATAAGGCGAATTGGTATATCTTGCTTTGAGAATGTATCTGAATCAAAAATCGTATTCAAGCCAATCATTTTTTTTTTTTTTTTTTTTGTTTTTGCGTTTCTAGACTTTTCAACAGAAGAGCAAAAGATATTCATCGCTGCAAGCAATTATATTATTGACCTAAAAAGAAAAAAAAACCGTCATGTATTCAATTCTTTCTTCGCATTGTATAGTATACGCTATTGGCATCTACGTGCATCTAATCAAGTCGTATACATATCCTTTTCAGTTTGGTTCATTCATACCATAATTGAAGTAACGTGACAATGTGTAATCATTCCACGAGTTCTAGCTTCTCTTTATCAAAGTTCGATAAAAATCAGATGAAAAAAAGCATTCACATTTACAAACATAGAAGGAACATTTGTATGTCGCTTAGCATTATTGAATGTATTCCTACACATCATACACAGAGAGACACACATACACCGTGCACGTTAGAATAATGCGAGTATATTCATCGTCATATTAAAAGAGTGTGTAACAAGCTAGAAGGGGGAGAACTGCGCTTTCCCTTTCATTTTTGTCTCTCGGAATTTATTTATGCGGAGAATAACGTATAAACAATATTTGGAAAAGATTTATCTTTCCGGCCACGTTGATTTCTCCGCCCTTTATTTATAATTGTACATTTAAGTACTTATATATTAACGTATTCGCAAATATTTAATTTATTCTCTCTGCGTTCGATCCGTTGTTTAAACGACGATACAGCAGTACATACGACGATCAGTGCAAGCATGATGATTATTATACATATATTGTATTATAAGATCGTAATTATTTAAATTATTTTGAAGAGAAAGAAAGAAAAATTTCATTCTTTTCTTTTTTTCTGTAGTCACTTTTATTAAAACGCGCAAAAACGAGAATTCGTCTTTTGACAAATTTGTATATTCCGCTTTAAACATCGTATGCTTTTAAAAGCCAAGAATCATATTGTAACCGGCTGTGAATTAAAAACTGAGTCTGAAATTATTTGATCGTTTGAACAGTTACGACGACGCAGAATGATGATCGTTTGAATTAGTCGAGTCCTTAGTAGATTTTATCTTTGTTCAAGTTAAAGATCTCACGTTTCTGTTTCGAACATAATATTGCTGATTTATATTGTCTGACAGTACATTCAGTTACTCTGGTGATATGGTTTGCTCTAACCACTCGTTGAATACAAGCATGGAAATCATTATTGCAATAATAATTAATAATTAATTAATGTTGTAATTATAATTGCTTCCATAGCACAGTTGTTGATGGAAAGCAATTATAATTGTGCTTAGAAATATTGTGACAGAAAGTAGCGAGAGTAATCTGTTATGAGATATTTCCATTATTGCTTGATAACAACGAATGAAATAATCTTGCAGAATGTTACCGATTAATTATTATATAATACTTGTTGTATTAGAATAACCAAACAAAATGAAGAAAAAAAGTAACTTTTTACAATGGCTGCTTGCTTGTTCAATATTCTTCTAATATCTAAACTATATTCACATGTATATGTTGAATAATTAAGAAAAAGTTTAAAAAAGAAAAAAAAAATTCGCTTATGAACAAAAATATATGTAACGTGAGTTCCATTGGACTGGCCTAGTTCAAAAGATTTAAGATTGCACCTCGAAATATCGGTGTATATTAATCATTTACAGTCGTAGCGATGATGATGGTTCGTTTTCGATTACGTGCAATTGCCGATCGCGAGGCGAGGTTTCATTTTTTATTCGAGACTACGGATACAATCTCGGTATTTAGTTTTGCGTCCATCGATGATGATTCTTAGTCGTTTTTTAAGTAATCATTTTTCCCCTCTAGCGTTAATTTTCTTCATTCTCATAGTACATGTTTTTATTTGATTTTCATGTGTGCTCTCATTACCCTGAAAAAAACATGCATTTATTGATATACGCTATCATATTCTGCGCCTGAGAGCTTGAAGGCCTAGAATTAGTAGTTTTTATTCAGCTTTATATCTTACATTTTCTTTTTATAATTGTCTCTAATGGAGAAAGAAATGCTACTTACTTTTCTATATTTTAATTAGCACTAAAATAGCGCATTTAAAAAGTAATTTTTCTACAATACCAAATTCTGAATTTTAATGAAGTTTTTAAGTGCAATCAATGTGCAATTAAATTAAGATTCTTTATATAAATTTGCACTATATATGTGTATATGTATATGTATATCACTTTAATTTTTACTATAATTTTTGAACAAGAAATAATTATATTAGTAGCGATGTATGATATGAATTTTTTAATTAATTTGTATTCTGATGTTTGGTAAAAAAATTTTAAATATGTGTTTAGTAAATTTTATTGGAGATTTATTTTTAATTTAACGCATATGTATCTTTGAGAAAGTAACAAAAGAAATACGTGTAATTTTTACTTACTTATCTTATACTTTTATTATTTATTAGATATTTTAGTAATTTTGTAGTATAAAGGAGATTTTACTATTTTCTTTTTTTTATTTTTACTTTCAGGAAATTTATCTTTTTATCCTAAGTGACATTAAATATAGAGCACAGTTGATGAATGATCGATTATACTTTATAATCAAGAAATATACATAAAAGAGAAATATTAGAAATAAGATTTTTAATGTTTACTTACTCGTTTAAAGTAGTTGCTTTTTTTCTTTAAAATATTTAAGGTATTGTAGCTCTCAGGTGCAAGTACTGTTATTTAAATAATATGTAAGTTTTGATTTATAATAAATATTTCCACTTGTAATTCCCTTTTGTTCATCTGCCTCCTTCGCGTGGAAAGCATGCAAATATTTTTTATTGCAAAGAATTTTTTCAAAAATATGCATTTTTAAACAATGTTGTAATCATGTTTTAGGATTTTATTAAAATTTCGTTGCTAATAAATTTTAGTTTGTTTTCTTTGATTTTGTATTTTTTAGCTTCCCATTTTAAACTTTTTTGATTTTATTTTTTTTGTTAATTTTTTATGCTTTTGTAATATAAACTTTTTATCATATATTTAATATTACAGTATCACTTTTTTGATTTTAGTAAAAATTCAAGCCTAAAAATCATATATAGTAAGTACAATTATCTCATTCTCAACACCATAAGCTGATAGGATTGGATAAGTTATTTATAACGTTAAAACGTAGTTATAAATATCGACAGCTTGTTTATCGATAATATTTTGTCACACATTTTAATTGTCAGTCGACACGAGTACGCGCTTTTATAATACCAAAATGAAAAATTTTATGCAAATTTTAATGCAAATATAATAACATATCTTTAACTTTTTATTAAATCGTATAATTATTCTGAATAAAAAAATCTATTTTGTTCTTTCTTAATCGTACAGTTATTCAATTACTGTAAAAAAAAAAAAAAAAAAAAAAACAAAAAAAGTATAAATATTGCGTATGAAATTTTATTACGTAATTATTCATTAGACCATCATTAGCATTATTCCATCCACTTGTTCAAATTATAGAAAAGTTTTTATTGAGCATAGTGTTACACGTTACAATATTAATAATAATCGATAATCGGTAATAAAGATGAGCATAATTGATAATCAATGATATTTTTTTTTTTTTCTTTTTCAAAAAGTGGAAACTATCACGTGAGATATTACGATTATTCACGAAAGGGGACAAATAGAGAGAGAAAATAGAGAATAAGAAGAGGGAGAAACGGTATTCTTTTACGAACTTCTGATTTGTATCGGCTTGACTAGCATATTAGAAGCATTAACGTTACGATTAATCGTAATCAATTGAATTCGGGGGAAATCGAAAAGCACGTTCAATGCTGAAGGGGATTATTAATTACGACATTACACGGGTATTAAAAATTCGCTTCGTAATAAATTAGGTACGACATATATAAAGGAGAAATGTACATTTATAAATCGCTAATAATTATTATCATTACACGTATCATCGAGGGCTACACATCGTGTTATTTTTTCACCTTTTTTTCGTTTTTTTTTTTTTTCTTATTTTCTTATTAAGATAATAATAACAATTGCAAGGCTGATTTGTACGAGAGTTTCAGTAGTAAAATATTTGCTCCACGACTTATCCCCCCTTCCCCTTCATCTCCCATACAAGCCCCGGAAACAAACATAATCGAACTCTGGTCATTATTTTATTACTCATTTCTGAAGTGAGATTAATTAGTTCCACAGCCTTTTATAATAATAATAATAATAATATTAGGTAAGCAAATCAGCCTGGCAGATTTCGAAAAAAGGAAGAAGCGACACGCGCTCGCGCGACAAAAAAAAGAAAATATCCGATGAATGATGATAGTAAAATATTGTGTACAACTTTTCCAATAAATATGCGACGTCCGCTTAAAAGTATAAATTGCTTGTATAATCCGCCAACGTCTCGTCAAGAAAGTACTTAAAATAGAGTCTAAACTAGCTTTCCGTGCTTCTAGTCTAATAATAAATTTGTATCAAGAGGGGAAATGATTCCCTATAATTTTTATTCGATTATACTTTAGGCTTGAATCATCCCTAACAGAGACCATCCAGATGTCCCTTTTTTTTCTTTTTTGATATACATATATATATATATATATATGTATGATATATATATATATATATATATATATATATAAATAATTTATTCAAGATAAAATTGTTCAAAGATTATTTATATTATAATTATTTATTTATAATAAAATATTAGGAAACAGAATTAAATTATAAAATATAAAAATTATTGGATAAAAATAATTAAAAATTAAAATATTAAAATAATAATAATTATATCTATAACTTCATTTCGTAATATTATTTGCAATAAAATTTAAAAACATGAGAGAGACATTTGGTTGTTCCATTTTAGAGATTTCATCCCGTAAAAAACGTATAATATCCTCTTGTAAAGTAGGTTTCGAAGTGGAAGAATACTTATAATTTATTTTTTCCAAGTAAAAGACTAAAAATTTTGTCTTTTTTCTTTTCTAATGTGAGAAATTTTCAGTAACCCCTTCGATTCGAATCCTATTTTACTAACGAGACTTAATTAGTAACTTCGTTATCGTAGAGTTTCGCAAAATATCGAATACTGAGTAATACACGATTCTTTTTCTTCGTTTTTATATTTTTACGAAGGAGAAACGGTCGTTTGGCGGAAATTTATTCGATCTCGTGTTCAGTGTTAACAAACGAACCGAATTGCGCGAAGTTAAAGCTCCGCTTCACCCGATTCGATTCTCTAGCACCTGCTTGCAAGTAAATTAAATGCGATTGAATATTGTTCATTCGATCGCATTCTGCCATTTCGATTGGATTTTTCAGCTGCATTCAATAAAATCATTCTTTGAGATCGTTTCTAGCTAGACATTGCACTACTAGATTGCACTTTAATCACTCTCTCTAGCTACATAATTTAGAATATCTTTGGATCGTCGCAGCTAAAAATATCTGTTTTCTGAAATTAATCATATATATATAAATGGGCAGTACTTTTTAATATTAAGAAATAACCAATATAATGATGACGATTACAATAATTTAAATATCATAATAAGAGTATAGATCTACGTTATCGTGATTCATCGCCTTTTTTTCTTAAGTTAAACCTTGGTCACTTTCAATTTCTTCTTCTTTTACAGTGATCAGTCGAAAGTTACCTATATCTGGCAGTATACATTTTAAAAGATTTGTGCTCGAGATTGGAAAATTCGATACTCCATTCAAATATACGTGTAAAGATATAAAGAATGAAACAATTGAAAAAAAACACGGTGCTAGTACGAAACTAATAATAACAATAAAGACAGGTGCTTCAAATTTATTAGCCTTGTCACCACGAAATCGATATCGTTTCCCCTAAGTAGCCTTCTATTCGCAAGGCCTATTAAGAACTGGTTTTCGGCCAGGCTATCTTTGCGTCAATTCGCTTGTAAGCGAAAAGGCAGTGAGAGAGCTCTTGTGGACACTCGTGGTCGCCGAGTAAGGTTTCTATAACAAAACAATGAAATAATATAGTATTTCTTCAATGTGTTTTATCTAGAATAATAGAGGTTAGTAAATACTAGTAGTAGAATTAAAGCTTTTTTCTAATTATTTAATTCTACAGCTTTGTAGTTAGTTACTATTTCATAAATCTTTAATTAATCTTTTAATTTTCTAATTTTTTTATATTAATTGTAATTGTCGTGCCTTTATTCAAATAGATATTTTGAAAATGAATAAAACATTTAATGTTATAAAATAAAAACTTACATATCCATTTAAAAAATATTAAGAAATTTGTATAAATGTGTTAATAAAATAAAAAACCTCTTGTAAATTATTTCTTCTAAATTCTAAATTGGAATTGTATAATTTTGATGAATTCTTACCTTCCCCTTGGACCAATTTGAACAATCCATAGTCCTGAGGATTGGTGCATCTGATTTTATGTGCGAGAATGCGACAAATCTCTCTGGTGTTCATATTTGGTCGTACAGGTAGCGTTCTGGTGTTCAGGGATCCATGCAGTTCATCTGGTACTAAAATTCGTAGTACGGATGAACAGTCTGGTGTTCCACAACCCTGATAAATCCAAATAATAATTAATTTAAAAAAAATATAATAACAAAACTTTGCATTGCACTTCTAATATCGCATAATAAATAATTATTGAAATTTATTGTAATGTTTCAGAGACCAGCATCGGCAAAATCACTTACATTTAAAGTGGACATCGTTCCCTGGCTGGACTTGAACGTCTTCAAAACGTGAACTGCGCTGGACAAGGTCGTCAAATAATATCCCCCTTCACCAGTGAGAAGAGAGGGATGAAGCAAACCCCACATGTACTCAGCTTCCACCTCAGCGTCCACAACCTTGCCACGAACCAATACCCAAACTAGAAGGGGAAGAAGATCGTCTGCGCCCAGCGTTACATGTCTGCCAGAATTTGCGTGCTTTACCTGAAAAATTATTATAATTAATAACGTTTAAATCTCTCTTCTTTACACGATAAGAGATTGCATCGCGACTTACGGAGTTGAAAATCGCTGAAATGGCTGCTAGAAGATTTTCCAATTTGTCTAGAGGCGAATCCGCTTTTTGAAGACGATCAATGTATTTGAGGATCCGCTCTAAACTCGACTCCGATGGGGGTATAATCTTTGGCTATAAATCAATCAATAATGTTATATTATGTTTCATTGCATTTTAAGATTAATGATTAAATTAAACTCTTCTTCTATAAATTGTTCTAGCTTATGATAGAGTTATTTAAAAAAAAAAAAATTAAGAAAACACCAAATTCTACACTATAGACAAATAAGAGTAATTAGAGGGTTCATTATTGTTCAAAATTTATCGAGCAACGTTAAAATCAAAGCCTACTTTTATTCTCTTATAAAATGAATAAAATAAATAAAGATAAATAAAATTGTTATTCTCTTTCCTCCATTTTGTTTTCATTAAAACTCTAGAGCAAATAATCAGTGAAAAGTAGTCACAACTACCCTCATAGAAGTGGCCACGATTACGAGGTAAGCTAGAACAACTCCCATTTGGCAAGCAATGAACATTTCTACAAACGGTTACTAACTCGAACACCGAGATCCTGGACGTGTTTCCCCTGGGCGTGCTGGATGCTCTCGGCGAGGGTTTGCAATGAACCAGTAGCCGCGTAATGCTCGACAAACAGTCTATAAACGTGTTCTCTGAGCGGTCTCACCACTAAGCCCATCATCACGCCTTCTAAAATAGCGTCCAAATTCAAGAATTCATTTGGCTTCAGCTTCAGCCTTTCTTTCTCCACCTCTTTCTCGAATTCTCTTTCACCATGTTTCACCAAGTAGTTCTTCATTCCAGACATAAATTGTCGCATGTTTCTCATCACCACGTGTGGGCTGGCTTCTTTCCCTTCCTTCGTGCATTGGATAAAATTGTCAATGTTTTGGGAGAATGTGGTCGTCTTGTCCGCTGCTAATTGAAGGGCGTATGACCTTATGCTCGAGCCTGTACCTCCATTGTCACGGTTTCTAAGGGCTTGCAATCTTGGAGGGGCTGCAAACAGAAAAAAAAAAAAATTGGATTAGAAGAATTTGTTTATAACGAAGAAATGATACAATGATTGGGTTAAATAATTATGAGGGGAATTACGGAAATCTCGATTGAGAGAATTGATTTTGATATATATTGGAAGATTTCTGAAAATCTTAAAAAAAATCTTAAATTTTGTAAAAGATTATTTCGTAATTTTTGTTGATTCTTATTGAATTTGGGGCGATAATTATTTCATACCGTGACACTTTGCGATTAATTTTAATTAATTTTATCGATAGAAGTGAGAGCATATATATATATATATATATTGACCGAGACATCGATAAAGTCTCGAGCATAAAGAGAGCAAATGTTGAAATAGTATTTTAGATAACAGATAATGGATGAAGAATGAACATTGTAGTTTCGCTGGAGGGAATGTAACTTGATACCGATATTTAAGAAATTCAATTCAAAGTTTTTTAATTCGATAACTTGGTAAATAAGCACTTGGTATCGCAACACGTTATCTTATGTCTACCGAACTACTAATAGTACATGGAATTCTAAAATAAGCGAAGCATGTTAAAACATTGCAAATAGACTTTATCTGTACACGAAGTTATAAAGATAATAATTTGATCCTCTTTCGTTATTGACAAACATTCACGTGATAATTTTTCGAAGAGAAATTATGCAAATAGAGGATGTCTCTTCAAATTTTTTTACTTGAATATTTTTCGATATATAACAAAAAAATGTGAAAATTTAACAAAGTTAGAAGAAGTTTAAATTTATAAACGTAAAAAAAATTAATAAACAAAGGGAGAATGATAATAAATTTTCATGCCACTAAAAATTTTCACTTACACTTGAAGATTACAATGCTATTTTGCAATTTCTTGTAAATATATTGGAACCATCTAGTTATACTTTGTAAGATGTTCCTCCCTCTCAAGAATTTCTGCTTTGGTTCCACTTCGATCGAACAATTGATCACTTTGCTCTTAATCTTCCAAATTTGCCAGAATTTCAGGCTACGTTCCTTCATCTTTGCTTAAAACTATAATACTGCTTTGCTCTTCAAATCTCTTTCCAAATTCTCAATTTACGTAAATACACGTCGCTCAAAATTTCGATCAACGAAATTTTGCTTATAAATAAAAATAATAATTTTCAAAATTTATTCGATCATTTGATCAACATCTAAAGAATTAAAACGTTTTTTCGATCGCTTGCGTTTAATTTTAATATTTATCCATATCTCGAATGGAAAAATTTTCCAATTTTCATCTCTTAACGATCTTTTTACAGAATTGGACGCTTCATCGAGAGATCGCAAGTGACGGGTCTGCTCTCCATTCGCAATTCTTTTCCCAGCTATCCGAGTTATCCGGGTTGAAAATCGGGCTGGCTTATCTGTGGAAGAGCTTTCGAGGCGAAGAACCCTGCGAGGGTTATCGGAACTTGAGAATTTCGTATAAAATTATTAAAATCCCAGACAGATCAGGATGCTTAAGCCTCCCGGTTATCTCGGCTATTGTGGAATCTTACGGGTAGATATCACGGGAAAAATTTTCTCGAGAAGTATCGTACCTCTTTGTAGCTTTTGAGACGAGACAAATTATGAATTTCGATTGGTTTTCTTTTGGGGAAAATTCGAATATAATTCGAAGAAAATATATATTTTTTTTCTCCCCTTACACTATATATCATCTTTTAAAAATCGAACATCTATCCGTCGATATCACTGAAAAATTTTTCTCCGACATCTTCTTGAAAATCTGTGATTAAGTTTTTAGAATGAGATTGTAAAAAATATATATATATATATATATATATACATATATCACGTTGAAAATTTTGCAAACACTATTTATCGATCGAACTTCTCAGAAGACACTCGCAGAAGATTCATCGCAGAGAGTGTTCGAATAGTTCCGATGACCGAGTCTCGATGAAGCTGCACCGACGATGGATTGATTGACACTGAACAATGGACAGCGCTATCGAGAAAGGTAGCCTCTGTCACATTGCGTTGGTAGGGAGGGAAGGCAAAAATTTGGAAAGAAAGAAGAGAAAGTTCAATGATCCTTTGACGATCCCTTCCCCGATGGCCCTGAAGATTAAGGATCGATCTCTCGAGAAATACTACAATCGGTACAAGAGATCGTAAAATAATTATTCAGATCGAAGTTTTATAGTTTTGGATGCTAGAAAGGAAGAGGCAGGATGCAATTGCTATTACACAGTACTTGTTTCTTTTTTTTTTAATCATAAAAATATTTATATTATCGATTTTTAAAGATTATATCAAACAATCAGTTGACTAAATATTCGCGAAATATGTGAAACGATCGTTGAAATTATTCTCGGTGATTATATTTCATAGCCGGCTATTAAACAACCCCTCGAACAAATGCACCACTCGAATTTAGGGAAACGATGACAACAAGCGACAGTTTGCCGTTTCAACGACCGACACCTCGTAAACTATTCCAATTTGCTAGGCAAAGCCAGCCATTATCGTTCGCTTTATAGGCTGTTCCGTTCGATGTAAATCTCCCTCAAAGATGAAACTATCATCGACAGTTTCGCGAAACTTTGGGAAATTCAACTTGAACGCTTGAAGCTCAGTAACAAGAAAGCTATATGGTTTATATATGGTTTCTTGCAACTTTATGCAAAGCGAAAAATTTTCATGTTTCAATTTTCTGATAGGAAAATATAGCTAAATTAATTTATCCTTTTGTACGTAATTTATAGAGAAGAATATAAATTTTTTTTAAATAGAAATTTTTATGAAATTTTTATTCTTTGTTTAGAAATTGAACAAGAGAAATAATTCAATAAATATACTGTCAAATAAACGAAATGGAAAACTTCTGTTAATTCTTTTAAATTAATCCTTCGAACGATAAACCTGTCGATACCAAACAAAAGAAGACGAGGACAAAAGAATCGAAGTAGACGAAGATAATCAACGGCCAAAACTAGCGTTGGAATTGATTTTCTACGCGACAGATTGCGATTTCAATCGGTGTGGTTTTCAATCCGAATCTTTGTTTCCACGTGTCACTGGATGTTCACGTGAGTGATTGACGATCAGATGTACCGAGATACGTCGATCTGTCATCGATCTGTATCGTGTTACAAATTGTTACTATATCCGCAAATTCTATCGATTTCTGCTTCGATGATTTAATAACAAATTAATTATATGTCTATTATTTTTTTTTTCAATATTTTTTTATCTAGTATTGATTGTAAAAATTATTTTTCTTTTACAATTATTGAAATTTTCCATTGTTTTGTCAATTGAAGAAATGAGAAGAATCTTTATTTTCCAATCCAAAGGACTAGCTGGATTTTTGAAATAAATTGAAGGCTCTATTTGCCACATTTGTATCTTGGATAATTCCGGGTCCAAGGGACGGCCAATTCTAAATTTTACCCAACTTTCTAAATCTTTTGTTCCATTTATTATCCTATGGAAAATATGTATAGAAAAGATAAATATGTATAGAATAGATTCGCAAAGCAAAAATGTGAATAGGATGTTTGAAATTGTTATAATGCATGTTAGAAAAATTTGTTTTCATTCGTTGTTGTTATTATTCACAGTTAATTGGATAACAAAAATTTATAACAATTCGTCTGTCAAGATCAATTAATTCATGTTTTAACTCATTAATTATTAAATCATTAATTGATCGTTGAAATCTAATTCCAAATTTTTAAATTTCCTCAAAAAAAATTTCCAAATCTTCCAATACTTTAATATTCCGATCTTCTATTTTTTTATCTATCCGATCATCTTTTTTTTATCTTTACTTTCCTAAATTTTTCAATTTCCTTTATTTTCATCTATTGGATTTCCATTTCGCAAACAGTTGTACGCAACTTCAAATTTCTACAAACTTTTCGATAAACTTCTATAACAATAAAAGCGTCGGAGACAAAGATCATCTCGAAACTATAATCGACTTCTTATCCTCTTATCTCTACTTCCAGACGAAAAGCGAGCATAATAATTAGCATAATGACGGATTATGCATTATCCATCGAGCGTTTCTGAAACGGTCGACGAAATCGTATAGGAATCGTATTTATTCCGCGAATTATATATACATATATATATGTATATGATATACAAATATATCAAATCTCTTGTTATATTTTTTTCGGCTCGTTACGACGCAATATTACAAACATTTTTCGTCCACATTTTTTCCTATGACACATTTATCGATCGGTCGCTATTGTGCCATTCGCGTCGTGACCTTCTCGATGCGATTTCCGATACACTTGCCACGCGTAGCAATGCACTTCGATGCTCCTTTGAGTCATGCTGATAGTTGTCGATAAATAATTTCACAAATACATGTTCTACGTGCGTGCTCCAGTGTGTTTTATTTGTTCGCGAGGAATTTCAAATATTTTCAATTGTATTAAATAATTGTATCTAAATTTAGAATTGCTCGATACGGAAGGGTTAATCTCGTAGAACGATGAAAGAAGAGCGCAGTGAATAACAATTCTACATCTCGTTTCGCTTTTCCACATTTTTTTTTCGTAAAGGGATATATAAAATATAAATGCAAACTCACAGAGAAGGGGATCCAAACGCTCTTTGAAGCTCTTGTTCCTCTTCATCCTCTCCACGTCACTTTCGTCTGTCTCCAATGGCGTCTCCCATTCGGAGGAGTCATAGATTTGGTCCTTTCTGCTGTCTCCAGCCTCTTCCCTCTCCACGTTCCTCTTCTCCACGTTGTCGTACGAGGAGTTCCTGTCGCTGTAAAGCGACTCCGACGTGTCCGGCGGTTTCAACAACTCTGGGTACCTATTGTTCGATACACAAAAAAATCATCAAAGAACAAAATTTAAAATATAATAAAACAATGTAAACAAATGTTATTCGGATGAAAGATATGGATACACGATAAAAGTCTATTTAAGAGAAAAAGTTTTTTTTTATTTATACCTAAATTTAATTTCACTTTACGTTGTCAATTCAACGTAATTATTAGCAATGGTGGCTCATTGGGAATATTGTCAATGTATATTTATCGGTCAATATAACTGGATCCAATTGGAGACTCACCGTTGGAGGATGATACTCTGAACGGTTAAAGTGTTCCCAACAACGTCCCTATCACACTCCTCGTCCGGAAACTTTCTGGCCACGTTATCACCCTCGTAATCCGCATCACAGTCATAGTCAGGTTCGCAATCGTCCCCTTCGTTGCCTGTACAAACGTTATCAAACTCGTTTAATAACAATAAGTATTTATTACACTTTCACCAAAGATGATTAAATTATACGTATCGTGAAATTTTTTTGATGATTTATCTTCTTTTAACAAAGAATATATCTCGATTTCATCTTGTTTGCGTTTCAATCTATTGTTGAAACGGTATATCGACAAATGATAATTTGAAAAGTATATACCATAAGTTTTCTTAATTTGAAGAATCAGGACAGGAACAAGTTACCAAGTTATTTCCCTTACTTGTGAGATAATGAATCGAATAAAAGTGATTCTCAAGAAACACAAAAAAAAAAAAAAAAAGAATAAAAGAAGAAGGAAATAAGAGAGTAGCTGACCGATAAATTCCCAGCTGGAATCCACAGCCCAGGAAGTATCGTTGAACACCTTGGTCCTGATCTTTGGTGGTTGCACAGGCTTGGCACGTGGAATCTTTTTCGTCTCTTTAGTACCGAGCCGTTTGGCCAGGTTATCGACGGAAGAAGAGATCAAAGGCGTCTTGTCTTCCGTTTCCTCCGGTTCCTCCCAGTCGATCGGATGCAGTTGATTAGAATTTGCACCCGCGGGCGTCTGCAGCCACCCTGGCTCGCTGTGTCTATACTTATTCGTAGCTGGATTGTTCCTAGGTCGCCTTCTCGGTATTATCGCTGCGTTTTGCGCGATGGCGTCCGCTGGTTCCGCATAAAACGGGCTACCTTGCTTCGATTCCGGTGTCAACGGGCTGTTGCTCTCCGACTTGGCCAGCATTAAACCTAGTTTATTCCTGGGTGGCGTTACCGTACTGGGACTGTTCAAGGAATTCGCGCTGCCTGCTTGAAGAGGAAGCGCAATTAGATGTGCAAAATGTGTAATGGAACGCTAGACATCCATTGATTAAATGTACTCACAAACACGAGACAACAGGTCAGGTCTCCTTCCCATTCCCGTTTCCTCCGGCGATCCGTTGCTCTGCTCCACGAACTTCGCCTCCTGGACAGGTTTAAAGCTGCTAAACTCGGGGCTGGTCATCTCCTTGTAACTCAACTTCTCGTTCCCGATCGACTTGTCGTTCCTCACGATCATCCTATCGTTCCTCACTATCAACTGTTCATTCGTAGCCGGTCGTAGCTCGTTGAAATTTCTCTCGGCTGAGTTTACAACCCTGTCCGGGACCATCAGCCGGTCGTTCGAATTTCTCAATCGATCTTGAGGATTCGCGGGTCCATCGTTCCTCGCCAACTTGTCGTTCGGCGACCAAGTGGAATGGTTCGACTGGTCGGTGGTGTTCCAGATGTCCTCGTAATCCGATATCTTGTCTCCAGGGGAGCTTCGATAATAGGACTCGAGGATGTCGGATTCCTGATAGTGTTGCGAGTTCTTTCGCGCTTCCCGGTCCCGCCTCCGCTTCGACTTGCTCGTGCTGGATGGCGTGGTCGGCGAGAGAACGTTAGGCGTCTTCGCGCCTGTGTTTGGGACTAGCTTCGACATTGGGGAGAGCACGGGAGTCGTCGGCGACAGGGGTGACTTCACGGAGAAGTTTGATATTAGGGATTTGTTCGATGTGGCGCTCTGCGGGCTAAGTAGAGACGTGTTGGGATCCGATGGAGTGTTCTGTGAAAAAGGGAAGATTCAGAAATTCAGCGTGTACATACAAGAAATGAAAATTTGAATTTTTTAAAAGAAATTTTACAGTATTTAATCACCTGCGAACTGGTGACGTCGTTCGTGTGATTCAGATTGAACGTAACCGTAGCAGTGACGCTGAAGTTATTTTGATTTTGTCCGATTCCGGGTTTCGCCCATCTCGGGGGCGGCGGTGGAGGCGTCTTCGCGTTCTGCCCCAACGAATGATTCTCCGCTATAATGTTCCTGATTTCAGGCAGCACGGGCGACGTGGTGCAGGAGAAATTGTTGAAGGTCGATACGTTTTGGTGAAAATTCGATATGGAGGTGGTAACGGAGGAGAATTTGCTCCTGGACAGTTCGACAACCGTCGATTTCGACGTCTCCGCAATGCTTTTCGCCTCGAAGCTGACTTTCGTATCCTGGACCGGGCTAAGCACGTTACTTTCCACGTTGTGTACCACAGGGGAGGGACATCTCACGCTTTGAACCAGGTTGGGGGAGATCAGTTTCTGGGATAATTTCTCGCCTGGCGAGAGTTTCTCTTTCTTCAGATCCAGGGGCTCGTTGAAGGTTGTCAGGTTAAGGGTGTTCGGTGGTGTTGGCCGAGGTTGCCGAGGCAACGAGGACGCAAACGTCGTCGTCGTCGTGGTCGTCAAAGCTGCTGTAGGTGACGAGCCTCCTGCGCCAGAGAATAAACAATAAACGATAATAATAAATCAATCTTAATTTCATCGGCGAAATAATGTAATCCGTCTATCACTCACGTGTTTCGTGCGATGAAATGGGCGCTAAATTTAGCACGATACTCTCCGTCGTCGGAGTGTGAATGTTATTATTGTTATTGTTCAAATTGTTGTTACCTGAAACGAAGAATAGATAAAAATACTCTCGTCTCGTGCGAAAATCGATCGAGAATTTTCAAATTGCTCCCTTATCAAAATTATTGTATCATGTACGAACTTACCGCCTCGAAAGCTACTCAAGCTAGACGTGTTGCTGCTGCTGCTCTCCGGTGGCTTTGGATTCGCCATCGGGTATCTCCAGAATTCCTGACCCAGAAGCGCCAACGAGGAGAGCTGTTGCCTATTCTTGGCCTCGCGCATCGCCCTTGGCAGTGTCAATTGGACCGGCAATTCGTCACTGTTTCGATCAGAGAAAGAGACGAATCAATGGTCGAGAAGGATCGATTCTTAATCGAGACGATGATCGATTTGTTAACCGTGCGATGCGAGAGAAAAAGATTTCACTCTTCTCGTATTCTTTAAACGGTCAATTAATTCAGCAATTATTCCGTGATTCAAATTCGAATCGAACCATCAACGACGTTCTAATGACAGTTATCGAACGTGTCGATCGTTTGTAAAAGTTCCAGTTGCTTTAATTACAAAAGAAAAGAATGTAGAAGCAAGGAAAAATGGGATAGAATGAAACAATTACCGCGTTATCGGGTCGGATCGATAGAAAGGTAAATGGATGGAACGCTCATGAATCATTAATCGGACTTATTAAAAGGAAAAACGGTACGTCGATTATCACGAAAAGCGAGGATTAACACGGTTTTGAAGAAAAAAAAAAAAAAACTTTTCACCGAACCCATTAATTCCGCTTAAATTATCCGTGAACACGATCCAAGTAAGTACGACTTTCACCTCGCTCGGATTCGGTCGACGAGCGTTGATTTTTGCACGCCAAAGAAATAATAATTCGATAACAAATGCCACGCTACAGATTAGACCACGAACGAATATTTGCCAATTAATCATCGACCGATATGATCTCTGTTTCGGATCCTGTGAGAAGGGATTAGTGGATTAAATAAATGGGAAGGAAGTGGCGATAACGGAGATAGCAGAAGACAAGACGGTATCCGGTGGAGTGGAAGAAGTGAACGTAAAGAGAGGCCACTCACCAGCACTGAGAATAGTGGGCGATCAACGAGGGGATGTTGTCGAACCTGTTCTCGCTAGTCTCCAAGCTCAGCTTCCCCTTGTTGGCTTGGATCAGGTAGTGCTCGATGTACGGTCCCTTTCCCGGTGGCAGTCGCACGGACAGGGCCATCGTGTCGCTCTGACTCGACTGCCGGACCACGAAGTTCTATAAATAAAAACAGAGAATTATTAACGTGCCAACTTAAAGCAACTAAAAAGGATTTACACGATTGGCGAATCGAGAAAACGCTTCGAAGAGATTTTTTTATCGGTGCAAAACTAGTATTTCGATATCGGTATAATAATTTTCTTGATCAGTGATAACGGAAAACTTTTTTATAACGATCTTGAAAATTGGATTCGTGTGGGAAGAAACTGGAAAAAATTCAAATCTTGGTAACCTAGTTTTTCCCAAGTAACCTTTTTACATTTTACAAGAGATATTTTATCATCGAAAACTTTGGACTCTGTCGAAACAAAATTTCTTTCTTCTTTGAAAGAAAACGTGTTCAAACACGAATACGAAAAAGTGAATCGTTAAAACTTGTTGAAATTCCGATAACTTTTCGAATTGTCACGATTAACACATATCGTTTCTAGAAATTACTATCAATTTAGAATAAAAGAAAACTTATAATAAAACTTATTTAAAATAACTATTTCATAGTTGAAATTTCATTTTACTAGATTTTCCTATTTCACAAATGTTTAAATATATGTATGCACGTGTAGTAAATAAAATTGAACTTTCGTGAACTGGTATCCGTGTATATTTATTATACGAGTATTACACATACGGTTGACATAAGGATATACGAGATACAAAAACATACAGTACGTATTGCCGGTAAGTTAGACGAATGAAAAATTTCTGAGGTCAACGCCATCTCGCGTTTGGACACTGGAAGCTTCGACTTGCTACTAGCAATACAGGATATGCAAGGAGGTATTCGTGACGTCACAGATAGAGAACATTGTGCGAGAAGGACGGAGAAAATATTTAATCTTCTATCGCTCGAAGATGTTAAAATAAAAATCAATCAATTACTAATTTTTTCTTAACAATTTATGCACTTTTAAGATCGCATTTTGAAGCTAGAACTTTACCTAAGTTTTTCGTATCGATTCTAATATGANAATCTTCTATCGCTCGAAGATGTTAAAATAAAAATCAATCAATTACTAATTTTTTCTTAACAATTTATGCACTTTTAAGATCGCATTTTGAAGCTAGAATTTTACTTAAGTTTTTCGTATCGATTCTAATGAAATTCTTGTTAATTATTTATTCATTAATGATTGTTATAGGGAATGTTTCGGTTGCATTCGATTACAAAATCTCCATTTTGTAATCGAATAACAAAAAATTAATTTATTCATTTAAACAAAAGTATAATTATGAATAAAAGTTATATGTAAATGCACAGAAGGAAATAACGTTTTAAATACATATATTCGTATTTAAAAATAAATTTGACAGTAATGAGAAATTAATGAAAAATGTATTGCGTATCAATGGCGGCCGTCCATTGTGATGGGTTTAATCGTTAATAAATAATTAAACGAAAAGAATTTCAGATTAAAATCGACACGAGAAACTTGCATAAAGTTTTTGCTTCAAAATGCAAGGTTAAAAATGCAGAAATTATTAGTAGAAAACTAATAATTAATTAATTTTCAATTTAACGAAGCGATAGAAAATATTAGATCAGTGACGTCACGAATACCTCTTTGCATATCCTGTATTACTAATAACAAATCGAAGTTTCCAATGTCCAAACACGAGATGGCACTGATCTTATATATTTTTTGATCCTTGCCAATCTTCGTTGTCAATTGGTAAGATTAAAATAAATAACAGGATTTCGATTAATATTTGAATTATTTGTTTGAGAAATATCGCAGAGAAAACTTACAAATGTTCCATAAAGCATAATATGTTTACAAGTTATACGTTTTTATATAAAATGACGAATCGTATCGATAATAATAATTAAAAAATAATATAATTCTATTTAAAGAAAATTAATTTCTATAGATCGTTTATGTGTTCACTTATAAAAAAAATCAATAATAATAATAATCAAAATATTTAAAATCATTTAACTATTATTTGAAATATTTTTCGTTATAGCGAAATACTACAGTGCATCAAGTTGAAAATTTTTGCAATTTATAAAATTTCATTTCGAAAATTCCGCGTGTCATCTTTTTCTCATATAATTCTGTTATGAAATATATAAATTTTATTTCGTTGTGCTATAAGGATACATACGTATCCGCACACAAATAATATTTATAACACTCGCAGCTCTAATACACGTTACAAATTATGCTCTTTACTTTCTCGATCGTGCTCGAGTCGATTCCATGGAAACGCAGACCAAACAAAAAAGAAAGAAAAGAAAAAGGAAAGAGACGTTTATTATTATTATCCACCGGTTTCCTTATTCCGCTCCATAAATTTCAACCGACCAACCAAGTTTCGAGAAAAGAATCACAACTGCTCTCGCTTATAAGAGAGAAAGAGAGAGAGAGAGAGAGAGAGAGATAAAAATGAATCGAGACACCGCGTAAAACCGCGACCCATAAAACACATTGCATAATTCCCCGGCATTTCCAGCCGGAAGTCCACGTCCGCGTCGATAGAACGTCGAGTTGTTGTGACATTCGGCAAAGTAATACGAGACAAAGGTCTAGAAGAAAAGAAAGGCAGGAAGAGACCGACTTTCTTTCTTTACCGCGGCTCTGCCCCTTTTTTTCCCCTTGCTCTTTTTTTCTCTTCTCTTTTACCGGGACAAAAACTCACCTTACAGAGGCACAGTTTATTTTAACCTTTTGATACTTTTCTTCTTTGTCCTCGTTTCGAGAAAAATGGGATGATCGTCTCCCAGGTCAAAAGTTTTCTTGAAATAGTCGGTATTAAAAAGGAACAAAAAGAAAAGTTAAAAGAAAAGAAAAATCGCTTCGAACGCACATCCACTCCACATTTCCATCCATCCACAGTATCGACAGTAGTCGCGATAATTTCAGCTCCCCTCCTCCTCCTCCCTGAGTCCTCTTCAATCCCGGGGATGCACCGGCTCGCGCAATCACCATTCCCGCTTCAACATGGCGGGGGTGGTGGTGGTGGTGGTAGTGGTGGTGGCGTCTCGCGTCTATGGAGAAGTAATTGCGAGCCGCATTGTTTTTCGGTCCTGTGCAATTGGTTGACGGCCGCGGGGCCAGTCGGGGGACGATTAACAAAGCTGGAAAACAATGAGCCAGCGGGAAAACAATACCTCGACGATAGCACGGCTCGTTCGCTGCCGTTTCCACTGCCCCCCCTCCCTCCTCCGCTGATTACATCGCTCCGCGCCCCACCCCTCCCAGTTTTCTCGTTATTCAGCGAGAAAGGGAATGGAAAAAAATACCGCTCCCTCGCGAAGGTTGCCTGTAAAATGTATCTGGATACGGGACGACATTTTTCTTGTTACGAAACGAGCGAAACGTCCATTCCAGGCTTCATTTTGACTCATCGTCGTTTCGTCATCCGTCGTTTCCGACCCGGCTGAGTCGAAACGATCGAATTAACGATGAAAGATCGGAGAGAGAGGAGTTTAATCGATCGAAGCGACGATGAGGGACGAGGTTTCGGAGAGGAGACGAGGATGAATTCTCACGTTGAAACAGACCACTTGACCCGATCTCGATTCGCCGTTTTCCACATTCGCGATCCTTATCGCCGTTCCGGTCATTAGGCACTCCCCCTCCATCTTGACCCCATCCGATCCTTAATTTTTTTTCGCGAGCCTTTATCCATTCTTGATCTCGTTTCCGAGCATAAAGTCACGAGACGAAAGGCTTGACCCTGCTTTCGTACGGGGCTTTATCACGAGGAAACCTCAATTCCATCTTGATATAATTCTAAAGAGGATCTCGACCTCGCAAAGGTCTAGTCTCGATCCCGTTCCTAGAGTGCTTTTCCCCCTCCTTCTCGACACGGTTTCCGCCGTGTAATTCGAATTTTATTACTCCACGTTATAACACTTTCGACTTTCTATTTGCGCGTTCTCCGAGAATCGCAACTTCCATTCGTTCGAAGATAAATATTTCTCGTTTCTCGTTAGAAATTTTCCTAGAGTTGATAATGAAATTTCGGCCATTTTCTATTTCCGAGATCGGCAACATTTTTACTTTTTCCCCCCGAATTTCGCTTGACAGATAACGCTCCACTCGACTCGATTGTTCCCGGCCGGCCAACGGAGACGATAACAACGCCGTGTGGAAACAATGGCCCGCGGCGGGAAGTGGAAAGCGAGTACGGAGTTGCGTAGATGGAGAAGTTTGATCGGTTGTTATCTGACACGACCGGAAGAACGGGAGTCCAGCTGGCTGAAGACTCGGATGGAAAACTGTGTCGACGTTTATGAATATAAACGACATTGTTCTAACGTTATCTAACGTTATCTCGCGGCCCGAGTGCGCGTCCAGTGAAATTTTTTATTTTATCGCAGGAACAAAGTCGAAATTCCCGATTAAAATTATTTCTTATGCATTTTCATGTACAGTATGAGAATCTAACGATCGATCCGTAATCGCGCGTCGTTCGAGATTTAATCGTAAGATAACAACAATTATAGATATAAATTTTAATATCATAGAATCTCTATATCTCGTAACTTTGACTCAATCCGTGACTTTTACAAATTTTTTTGCATATATATTATTTGTATACACGTTAAACGCTTCTCGATCGTCGACAGAGACGAGAAAATTGTTTCGAATTCGCGACAAGAATTCTACAATTTAGTAATCGATTCATTTTTTAAGACTTTTTTAAATTTCTACATATATATTATTTGTATACGCGTCAAACGTTTCTTAATCGTCGACAGAGACGAGAAAATTGTTTCGAATTCGCAACGAGAATTTCACAATTCGATAATCGGTTCATTTTACGACTTTTATAAATTTCTATATACCGTTTCGAAAATTGTTTCGAGACAAGAATTCCATAATTCGATAATCAATTCATTTTACGATTTTTACAAATTTCTACATATATATTATTTATATACACGTTAAACGTTTCTCGATTATCGACAGAGACGAGAAACGTTTCATAATCGATTCATTTTAAAAACTCTTATAAATTTCTATATATTATTTGTACATACGTAGAACATCTTAATCGTCGACAGAGACGAGAAAATTATTTCGAATTCGCGACAAGAATTCTACAATTTAGTAATCGATTCATTTTAAGACTTTTATAAATTTCTACATGTATATTATTTGTATATATTTATGTAGAACATCTTGATCGACAGAGACGAGAAAATTGTTTCGAATTCGCAGCGAAATTTCACAATTCGATAATCGATTCAATTTGCGACTTTTAAATTTCTACATATAATATATTATTTGTACACACGTAGAACGTCTCGATCGTCGACAGAGACGAGAAATTGTTTCGCGACAAGAATTCTACAATTTAATAATCGATTCATTTTAAAACTTTTATACAAATTTCTATATACATATATATTATTTGTACATATATAGCTTCTCGGTCGTCGATAGAAGAAGAAAATTGTTTTGAATTCGTGATGGACAGAATTCGATACAAATTTCTATATATTGTTTCGAAAATTGTTTCGAGACAAGAATTTCACAATTCGATAATCGATTCAATTTGCGACTTTTATAAATTTCTACATATAGTACATTATTTGTACACACATAGAACGATTGTCGACGAAAAAATTGTTTCGAATTCGCGACAAGAATTCTACAATAGTAATCGTCATTTTAGTAATCGATTCATTTTAAGACTTTTTTAAATTTCTACATATATATTATTTGTATACGCGTCAAATCATCATCAATTTCTTAATCGTCGACAGAGATGAGAAAATTATTTCGAATTCGCGACAAAAATTCGGTAATGGATTCATTTTACTTTTAAAAATTTCTACATATAGCATATTATTTGTACACACGTTTTGTAGAACGTTTCTCGATCATCGAAAAAGATGAGGAAATTATTTAATTCGTGATGGACAAAATTCCACACTTCGATAATCGGTTCATTTTACGACTTTTATAAATTTCTATACATTATTTGCACACATTTCTCGATCGTCGATAGAAACTCGATAGGAAATTATTTCGAATTCACAGAAAGAATTTCACAATTCGATGATCGGTTGAAGAAGCGGCGAGAAACACGAGCTTCTATTCATCGGAGCCTCAGATGGCCTACGGCTGTTCCGCGAGGAGCAAAGATCAGCCACTTTGTCGCGCGAATCGTGACAAATGCTTTCGCCCTCTTCCTCCCGCGTTTAGCGCGGAAATGGTGGGGGGAGAGAGCGCGTCGCGCGAGAGAAGCGGGCGCAACCCCGTTGTAGCGAGGCGCGCTAACAATGCCACTTGTTATGCGTATTTTCTGGCAGAGCGCGGGTTGGAACGCCGCCAAAAGCTTAGGCCGGTCGTATTTCGTCGGGGCAACGGCATGTCTGCCGTTTGCATTTACCGCGTATTAAGCCACGGCGGGTGCAACGGCGACTGCCAAACGGTCGATGCGTTCGCAGACGCTCGGGCCAAGGCTGATCCCGCAAAAATCTACGTACCTCCCTCTTTCTCAGGCCGTAACGAGTTGGCGGTTTCGTTCGAAGAAAGCAGAGGCGAGCGATTAAGTTCGCTTAAAGAAGGAAAAAGAAGATAGATAAATTTAAAATCCTTGGGTGGAAAGGAGACAGATAGATCTTCTGGTTGGAGAGGAAAAAAATCCCACTTTTATTGAATCGCGGATGATCAACGGATGATCCCCCGCGTTGAACGGGGAAAATACTCGATGAATTGTGTTGGCGAATAAAAGGAGCCCAGGCCGCTGTTCATTCATTTCGGCTAACAATACGGGAGGCGAAAATATTCGCGGAATCAGCGAGTGATCAAAGCCTCCGCAAGCCTCCGAGGGGTAGTTTTTCCCCTGCGCGATCAAGCGGACAATCGGTTGCGCGATATTTCGTCTCTCTTTGTTCTCGATCGAGCTTTCCCTTCTTCCAGAACCGTATCACTTCGCAGGCTTCTTTCCTCGGTTGTTCACCGGCGAAAGTCCATCGCCACGACGACGAGTTATAAATTTTCCGATAATCTCGCCCATTGTAACACGGGATAAATAATCCAGAGTCTAGACACGGGGATCCGTTCGGATTGGAAGGAAAGATGGCAAAGTAAAAAAACGATAATCGGAGAAAAACTCGTCGATATTTTTCGTTCGGAAGAAGCAGCAGCTTTTAAGCGAAATTCTCTCTCTTTCTCTCTGTCTCTTTCTGCCTCGTGGAAAAATGGAGGAGGAGGGATGGATGGAGGAGCGCTCGAGAATTTTTTCCACGGCGATACGCTTTTGATCCGACCGTGCTTTGGCGGGAAACTTGTCGGTTGATCGAGACGAGAGGGAAAGGGAAAGGGGGAAGAAGAAGAAGGGCTTCGATCGGGTTGCAATTTTCTTACGCCTAATCGATTCGCTCAAGTGCACTCACCCCTTCCTCTTTGCCTTGCAACAAGTGGAAAGCGCCTGCTCTTTGGATGCCAGGAAGGAACCAGATCGGATGGGAGCGTATAAGCCTCTCGATCAGAGTGATGTCGCACGCGACCTCGCTGCCAGAATCTTCCGTCGAGCTCGAAGATCCACCCGAGGTGGCCGACCCTTCCGAGGAAAGCGACTCCTCGCTCTGAAAACATTAATTCCATTAATCCCTTGATTTTCCTTCCTCTCCTCTTTCCTCTCAAAACGTATACGTATGGTGATCTCTTGCGATCGCCACTTATACGATTCCATTTTCCTGGAAACACGATTCTTGGGAGGGGGAGGAGAGAAATACGACTCTCCGTTTATAGCGCGATAATCATCGCGACGACAAAGGGGACGATTAACGCTTTCGTTTTTATGGTCGATTATAATCGCTCTCCGTAAAATGCCACTGATATACTATGAACGACTATAGTCGCTCTACGTAAAATGTCAGACGGGCGACTGATACACTATGGCCGATTATAGTCCATAAAATGCCACTAATATATTATGAGCGACTATAGTCGCTCTACGTAAAGTCCATAAAATGCCTGATATACTATAAGCTATACTATATACTATATACTATAAGCTATACTATAAGCGACTATAGTCGCTCTGCGTAAGATACCACTATTGTTCTACTAAAAGCGACTAAAATGTCACCGATACGCTATGGGCGACTATAGTCGCTTTCCATAAAATGCCATTAATATATACCGACTATAATCGCTCTACATAAGATGTCACTGATATACTATAGTCGCTCTCCATAAAATGCCATTAATATGCATTATACTCTGATCGACTATAGTTGCTTTATATAAGATGTCACTGATATACGACTATAGTCGCTCTCCGTAAAATGTCACTGATATACTATGAGCGACTATAGTCGCTCTACATAAGATGCCACTATTGTTCTACTAAAAGCGACTAAAATGCCACTGATACGCTATAGGCGACTATAGTCGCTTTCCATCAAATGCCATTAATATATACCGACTATAATCGCTCTACATAAGATATCACTGTTACACTATAGTTGCTCTTCATAAAATGCCATTAATATACTCTGACCGACTATAGTTGCTTTATATAAGATATCACTGATATACGACTATAATCGCTCTCCGTAAAATGCCATTGATATAGTATGAGAGACTATAGTCGCTCTACGTAAGACGTCACTGATGGACGACGAAAATGCCATTGATATGCTATGACCGATTATAATCGCTCTCCATAAAATACCACTGATATATTATGGGCAACTATAGTCGCTCTATGTAAGATGTTAGACGAGCGACTGATACACTATGGCCGATTATAGTCCATAAAATGCCACTGATATACTATGAGCGACTATAGTCGCTCTGCATAAGATGTCATTAATATACTCTGATCGACTATAGTTGCTTTATATAAGATGTCACTGATATATTATAGGCGACTATAGTCGCTCTCCGTAAAATGCCACTGATATAGTATGATAGACTATAGTTGCTCTACGTAAAATGTCACTGATGGGCGACGAAAATGCCATTGATACGCTATGGCCGATTATATATTATATCGCTCTCTATAAAATACTACTGATATACTATAGTCACTCTGCATAAGATGACGTACTACGGGCGACTAAAATTATTCTATATAAAATGCCATTGATAAGCTATGGGCGACTACAGTCGCTCTCTATAAAATGTCATTGACATATGGACGACTAATCAGATCAGAGTATATTAATGGCATCTTATGCAGAGCGACTATAGTCGCTCATAGTATATCAGTGGCATTTTATGGACTATAATCGGCCATAGTGTATCGCTCTACGTAAGATGCCATTGACGGGCGACAAAAATGTCACTGATATATTGTAGACGACTATAGTCGTTCTGCATAAGATGACGTACTACGGGCGACTAAAATTACTTTATATAAAATGTCATTGATAAGTTATGGACAACTATAGTCGGTCTGCATAAAATGTCATTGATACATTATAGGCGACTATAGTCGCTCTCCGTAAAATGCCGCTGATATACTATGGGCAAATATAGTCGCTCTGCATAAGATAATATATAAGATAATATACTATGGGCGACTAAAATTACTTGTATCAAATATCACTGATATACTATGGGCGACTATAGTATATATACTCTGCATAAGATGACATATTACGGGCGACTAGAATCTATTATAATCTATATAAAATATCATTGACATATTATATTATATCATTGATATACTATAATCGCTCTGCATAAGATGTCACTGACGGGAGACTAAAATCGCTCTGCATAAAATGCCACTGATATACTACGGGCGACTATAGTCGCTCCACATAAAATGCCACTAAAGTACTATGGCCGCTCCTCTGCATAAGATGCCGTGTATTGTACTGTTCGCGTTTAAATTATTATATCTGAGAAAATAATCAAAGAAATAACAATAACATAATAAATCAGGACAAACCGATCCACTTCGTCTTACTGGAAAACGCTTTCCTTCACTTTACACAAATGAAAATACAAAACGAAAGAACCAGTTGTATCGTACGTTCAAAAAGTGACAGGAGAAGCGAATACCATTATTAACAGTTATTATTATCACACAATTATATTATTATAATCTGTAATGTTATTCGAAAGTATAATTAAATGTGACTTTTAAAAGTTTCAAATATCCCGTTTCAAGAAAATTTTTTTCCCCCAATAAACGTCGTCAAAGCACTCGAGTTGCAGCGAGTCGGCCGCTGACGATCTTTCTCGAGTACTGCGCACACATTTTTGCCGCGACAACGGAGAAATCGCCGCTTAAAAACTACAACTGTGCTGGAGGACCGGAGGAGCGAAGCCGAGGGGAAGGAAGTGCAAAAGAGAGAAAAAGATGATTTGGAGATTTCGAAGGAATAAAGGCGAATAAAGGACGAGGGAGGAGGGGGGCATTGGCTGCAAATTGAGATAACCCGTACGCGACGGTATAATACCGCATTAGGCGTATATTGCGCACGACCATCACCCCGAGGATTTACACGCCCTCGAAATTGAGGCTTAAGGGCCTTCGCGCCTACCTTTGCTCCGCGAATCGCGGACTTTGTCCACTCGTTTCTCCGCCCCCGCGCTCCTCCTCCGCTTTTACGGTTTTAGTCGCGCAACGAAGGAGGGGGCGGGGATCGAGATTAACCGATCAAGTGGAATTAACACGGGGTAACAAAACGGTCGGGATCAGGAAAATTATACGATTTGCGAATTCCTTTTGCACCCCTCTCCACGTAATTTATTACTCGCGTAATGATAATACGAAACGAAGGTGTTGGTTCGAATTTTTGACCGATCGATCGTTTGGAACGATAATACGTAGGAATATATCCGAGGAAGGGAGATAATTTTAATTGTAATAATTTTAACGAGAATATTACAGGTTTCGCAATTTCGTTGAAACGAGAGTAATTGAACGGGATATTTCTGCGTCGTGGTACGATTGTCGGAGAACGAGAGGCGTTTCCGTTCAAGTGCAAAGGTCTTGCTCCAGTTGGCTTCGTTTGCGGGAAAGGGTTCGCCATATTACTTCAGAATTGCCTTCGTTACCATTGATTCACGATCTCTACGCGTTTCATCACGCGTAGAGAGTACAACAGTTTCTCTATACATTCCCAGACTATGTATCTTTCTAACAACTCTTTACGTTTAAAAAAAAAATAAACACATATAAAATAAATAAATCGAGTGCTTTGTGAATCGATCGTCTCGTCTCTCCGTCTCTTACCAAAGTAAATCGTAAATCTACTCGAATCGATGCGTTCTCCCGATCGCAACTCTCGAGTGAACGAAATTAATAAAAAACGAGGAAAAAAGAACGATACACGCGCACGTAACGTGGATCAACCTCGATTTTTCGCGCACCCTTCTTCCTTCGACGGGGGCGGACGAGAGAACTCGGCAAGGGGGTCTCCCCCGCGCGGCGTGTAGTTTCGAGTGTAATTTAATTTGAAATGCAGACTGACGCACAACGGCGTTCCGGGTTAAACGGATTAAACGAGGACGTGCGACGCGTGGCGAACACCCTCGCGGCTAATTGCGACCGTATCTCCCTTAATTGCGAGCCGCGGAAAGTATTCAACTCCGAGTTGCGATTCCCCGATCATCGATCCAGGAAACGGGCGTTTTTACGCGTGCCATTCCCCCTTTCCTTCCCAAAAGATAGATCCTCGCTCACCTGTACATGGTGCAGCTGGGTGAGCTGATGATGCTGCAGCGGGTTCGGCGGAGGCGTGCTCGGCGAGCTGACGACCTGAACGGTTCCGTGCTGCTGCAGATACGGTTCCAGGAAGACATCGCTCCTGCGAACACAGAGAAAACAGACCGTTCCGCTTTAGTCTCGTTTCGTTAATTAGCCGGCCATCCGCTAGAAGAATCCGCCGGGACGAAACGCCATTACCGTTCCTCCCCCGATTACGATTAATTTTCGTTTCGGCGAATCTCGAGAATAGGAAATACGAATGGATGGGATCTATCTATCCACGCTTAATCGCTTGGAGAAACTCGGCGGGTTCACAACGCACGCTTTGTAAAGCGGACAATTTCCTCGCCTGCCCAGCGGATTTATCTCAGGGAAAACTGGACCGATCGATCTCGAGATTCCGCTTCCACTTGGCGCCAACTGTAGCATCAACGACGTTAACAAGCTAGACCAACGAGAGACTTAACGATCTTCGTTAATTATACCCGATAATCCGAACTCGCGTAAAGTGATCGCCAAGGCACTCGTCTCTCTCTTAATTAATGCTCTCATTAAAATCCGAATAGGTCTGTCCTAATGGCTCCTATCTTGCGATCCACGATTCTCTTACTCCTCCTGCTCTCTTTCCTCTGCCAATTTTTTCTTCTTTCCTCTCTCCCTTCTTTTATCAATCGCTTTATCACCTGGCGAGATCGGCCACCTCGAGACAAAGAAACTCGCTCGGGTGTGCACGACTTCGTTCGCAACGAGGACAGCGGCTATATATATATATATATATATATATATATCTGGGTGGCGTATCGGAGCTAATTGCGCCACGTAGCACGCGTACTCGTCAGAACTCGTGGTACGCGTCAGAATCTTGAGAGTGAGTGGCGCGTTACGCGGAAACGCCTAGAGCTAGATTAACGACACGAGTTTTTGTGCGTCCAAGTGTAGTTCACGCGGCGTTTCCCGGGAGCCCGGTGCCTGTCATTAGCGCACTTCGCGCGCACATGCGGATATTGCTCGTTACGAAGGAAAATCACCAAAGCCATTGCTTCGAAAATTTACGTTTCCACGAATCGTTATACACGTGAAATGCAAGGATCCTTTCGAGCGTATATGCGAATATTACTTATTACGAAGGAAAACCATCCGAGCCTTCAAAATCATTGCTTCGAATATTTATATTTTCACCAATCGTTATACACGTGAAATGCAAAGATCCTTTTGAACGTATATGCGGATATTGTTACGAAATAAAAATATTGCTTATTATAAAGGAAAATCATTATTACGAAGGAAAATCATCCGAGCCTCCAAAGTCATTGCTTGAAAAATTTATATTTCCATTAATCGTTATATACGTAAAATGCAAGGATCCTTTCGAACATATATACGGATATTGTTAAGAAATAAAAATATTGCTTATTACGAAGGAAAATCATCTACGTCTCCAAAACCTATTGCTTCGAATATTTACGTTTCCACCAATTGTTATATAAAATATTGTTACGAAGGAAAATCATCCAAGCCTTCAAAGCCATTGTTTGGAAAATTTACATTTCCACGAATCGTTATACACGTGAAATGTAAGGATCCTTTCGAGCATATATGCGAATATTGCTTATTACGAAGGAAAATCATCCGAGCCTCCAAAGTTAATTGGAAAATTTATATTTCCACGAATCATTATATACGTAAAATGCAAGGATTTTTTCGCATATGCGGATTGTTACGAAATAAAAATATTGCTTATTACGAAGGAAAATCATCCACATCTCCAAAGCCATTGCTTGGAAAATTTATATTTCCACCAATCGTTATACACATGAAATGCAAAGATCCTTTCGCATATGCGGATATTGTTACGAAATAAAAATATTACTTATTACGAAGGAAAATCATCCACGTCTCCAAAACCATTGCTTCGAATATTTACGTTTCTAATTGTTATACACGTATTGTTACGAAGGAAAATCATCCAAGCCTTCGAAGTCATTGCTTGGAAAATTTACATTTCCACCAATCGTTATATACGTAAAATGCAAGGATCCTTTCGCATATGCGGATATTGTTAAGAAATAAAAATATTGCTTATTACGAAGGAAAATCATCCACGTCTCCAAAACCATTGCTTCGAATATTTACGTTTTCACCAATTGTTATATAAAATATTGTTACGAAGGAAAATTATCCAAGCCTTCAAAGCCATTGCTTGGAAAATTTACAAATGCAAGGATCCTTTTGAGTGCACATGCGGATATTGCTTATTACAAACGAAAATTATCCAAGCCTTTAAAGCCATTGCTTGGAAAATTTACGTTTCCATTAATCGTTATACATATAAAATGCAAGAATTCTTTCACGCGCATATGCGGATATTATACATTGCTTATTACGAAGGAAAATCACCCAATTTCCATTGCTTGGAAAATTTACGTTTTCATTAATCGTTATACACGTAAAATGCAAGGATCTTTTTACGCACATATGCGGATATTGCTTATTACGAAGGAAAATCGTCCAATTTCCATTGCTTGGAAAATTTACGTTTTCATTAATCGTTATACAAAATGCAAGGATCTTTTTACGCGCATATGCGGATATTGCTTATTACGAAGGAAAATCATCCAATTTCCATTGCTTGGAAAATTTTCATTAATCGTTATACACGTAAAGTGCAAAGATCCTTTCGCGCGCACGCGCGGATATTGCTTATTACGAAGGAAAATCACCCAAGCCTTTAAAAGCCATTGCTTGGAAAATTTACGTTTCCACCAATTGTTGTACGCGTAACTTGCGGATATTCTTACGAAGGAAAATAATCACCCAAGCCTTTAAAGCCATTGCTTGGAAAATTTACATCTCCATTAATCGTTATACACGTAAAATGCAAGAATCCTTTCGCGCTTATTACGAAGGGAAATCATCAAAGCTATTGCTTGGAAAATTTATATTTCCACCAACCGCTGTATACGTAAAACGCAAGGATCCTACGTCGATCGATCCTCGCCCTGTTGATCGGATTCGTTCGATGAAGTTCGATAAGATTTTTCGAAATTTCGAGGGGGGATAATTGGCGCGGTCACTCGCGCGTCACCGTTTAGTTAGATTCGGATGGGACGAGGACCGCGTTCGAAGCGCGTATTATTTCGAGCAAAGTTTGCGTCGCAGTTTGTGCCGGGTTGAATATCGGATGAAGGGGCGTTGACGTATGCAAAGTCGCCGACTACCACACCACCCCATCCCGTAGCGCGTCCCGTACTCTATTGTCCTCTGCGTTTGACAGTTGGACGGCCTGTCTCGGACCTTGTTTGCCCGGCTCTGCCTCCGCGCCAATCTCCAGGACCGTACACCACCGATCGAAGCAATTTTCGTCTCCTTCTCGATCGATTCGACCGCCAGAGAAAGAGAGAGAGAGAGAGAGAGAAAGAGATAGGGAGACGTTTAACTGGTCGAACGGACGATGACGCGGCATTTACGAGCGGCAACATGCACGAACGAATTAATCAAAATTTATTTGATTAATTTTCCGAGTAAAAAAAAAAGAAAACTCATCCATCGTTCTGTCCGAAGTCGTAGGCCATCTGTTCGTGATTTGGCGATCAAAACTCGGTCATAAATAAATTACGGTCGACGTTCCTTTCTTTCTTTCTTTCTTTCTTTTTTTCCCTTCGACGACGAACGATTTGTTACGTCGCGACGTATCGATTTTCCACCGCGACGATATCCGCCGGACGTAATTGATTAATTTCACGTCGCGGATTAATTGACCGCTGGAAGAGGTTTCGCTCGAGCGCTGCGCCTCGTAACCGGCACACAGGTGTACGTATCGATTTAATTAGACGGGAAACATGCGCCGAAAACCTGCGATGGAAACCGTTCAAACTTTTTTTTACCCCTTTTCCTCCCCCCCTCCCAATCTTTCTACTTACTCTTCTTTTTTTTTTTTAAATTTTGACGTGATAATTCACGAAAGACACCGTCGAGAGCGCATTCTTTCAGACGAAAGAAACGAAAAATCGTGAAGAGACAATCGTAAAAGTAACAATGGATATTGTACCGTGGTAATTTCAACGATTAGAAATTTCGACCGATTTCTTTTTTCCAAGAGAGAGAGAGAGAGAGAGAGAGAGAGGCAGCCGTATCATTAACGATCACGTCGAATCCACCATTCCTCGAAACATTGTAACTTTCCAACGACGACGTTCCCTCGTCAAACATGTTTCATTCACCCAACCGCCAAGAACGTGTCGTCAAACTGGAAGCTACACTTACACTCGGAGAAGAGACCGAAACAATGAATAAATAGAACAAAGATATGTAAAAAAAAAAAAAAAAAAGGACGACGACAAGAGAAGCCCTTTCCACTCGCGGTACGAATTGGCGGAGCGGCGGTCGATCCGGGAATAACAAAGGGCCAACGACGCGGAAGTTACGTTCCTGATTCGGGTGCGAGGAACGCGGTGCGCTCGTCGTCTGTGAGATCGGACGGGGGTTGCCATGACGACTGGCAAGGTTCTCAACACGTGGTCCGTCCACCTCGCCGGCCTTCGTCGTAAGGGGTAAAAAGGGATTTTTTGCGTACGTATTAACGTAGCTGCAATGGGATCGCGATGCGTGTCGCCGGAGGAGAGGAACAGCGTCTCGAAGAAGAGATACGCTTTCTTCTTTTTCTCGTCTCGTCTCGAGATGTTAATTCGTTGTCAATTGTTGTTATAATGTTATTATAGAAGGGCTACTAGTAGGGTGGCTAATGGTAAACGAGTTTCGAGGGACATTCGAGGTAAAGTAAATTTAATCGGTTATTCGAATTTGGTATTAAAGATGTCGCAATGTGTCTAACAGACGTTTTTAAACGGAATGTTATTTCGATTCCTTGGTCTAATTCGATTCGCGCGCCTGATATTGAACTCGGGCCAACGGGGGCTCTGATATATTCTCGAGGAACCTTGAATCCTCGCCAACGGGGGCGGTGGCAGTTGTTTCTATCATCTCGCCGACGAGCTCGTCGCAGCGTGTACATTTTAATTAGAAAACGTGGTAACGTTCTAATTAGCTGGCTCTTTGGTTCGAGAAAAATTAGGAAAGCACACTTGGCGACGAGCGTGGAGG